TATTGCCCAAACTTTTATTGTCCTAAATTCCGTTGCATTATTTGCAAATGTACTACTGCATAACAATGCAACAACCACATCAATCAATGAAACTTAAAGTTGATAAACAGTAGTGTTATTCATTGGCTCTGTTTTCTAACATTTTTTTATAGATATATATGTAAGTGGAATCTATCACCACATATGATGATTACTAACAAATGAAACTAACAACCACGAATTTATGTTGAGATGCTTTTCACATAGAGAGCTGATGAAACTAAAATATCGGTTGATGCTTGAAAAATAAAGTCTGTTAAGAATGGATAGTCATTAATTTTAGACGAAATATAAAGTAAAAGAAGCCAATTAAATTGTACAATTACATCATCTTTATTTAAATATTCATCAGTAATGAAGATCCGGATGAAAGGTTGGTGTAGGAACGAGCATGAGCACATGTTTGTGTAGGTACATTAAGCCAATCAACATATTAACTGTACATATCGATAAATGTCATAAAAGTACGCAGAGATTTTGATATTGGAGCTGTTTATTCACTTTTCAAAGGCTTACAATCAATTTTTTAATGTAGGAGAAATATTGTTATATTTCTATAGTAAATTGAGTACAATTAATATATATGTTATAAAATATGTTTATAAAATCTTTCTTATAACCAAAAAATAATTTTCTTTATAATTACAACCAGTAAACTGTAGGATTAACATTATTGTTATCATAACAGTTAGGTTAATTCATGCCAAAATATTGTTACCTACTCTATCCTATTCACTTCTCTAACTCACTTATTATCCAATGAACTACCAATAAAATATTTTATATGAAAGCTAACTATTAACAAAAAATTTAGAGAGAAAACAGCTGATTCAAATATTACGTGTAATATATTTATAACAAATAACATTTGCTACATTGAACATTATCACTTCTACTTCATTGTGATAAAAAGAATTTTATTTTTGCCTCACATAATATGTAATGAAGACTAAAAGTCAACTGTCTTTGAATTTAGTCAAAAAATAAACCAAAAAGATAGTTTTCTTAACTTTGACTGTCTCATCTCTACATCAATCTATCACTGTGATCATCTCTTAAAATTTATCGAGCTGTTCATTGTTTCATTGTGTTATTATAGAATATTGAATTGAGTAAAAAACACGTTCTTTGAGATTCAGTTGATCAACGATGATTTTGACAAAACGTTTGTTGATGTACAATTTTTTGAACACATAACAATAAATCTTTGGTTAAGTGATAAGAAAAGAACTTTCTGAGAATAAATAATGTGGCATTCACTAATCAGTAATGATTTTAACTTTTATGTGGTGTGTTCATAGATTTGAACAAAATGAAATTTGCTAATTTTGCTTCACGGTTCAAATTCGCAATCTTATGAATTCATTGATTTCCATTGGTAAACCTAACGAAAATATCAAAGCTAAAAATATTATTTATAAAATATTTGAACGGAAATGTATTTCCCCTTGTTTAATGATAGTGAACAGAAATCATTGTCATAATATAAACAAGAAAAGTCACAATTGTTTTGACAGTGCACTAGATTATATATAACTATTTCATTCAATACTAGAAATAATCGATTCGATGATCAATTCGAATTTCATATCATTATGAATAATTATATCTCTCCTCTAATAACTATATTTTTTCTAATATATATATGGATTGACAATTATGTGAAATTACAGTATTGTATGCTAATTTCTGTCTTCAAATGAACTTTTGAATGGTGTATATTACCTTATACCATATTTTCACAATTAGAAATATCATCATGTCGCCAAAATATTTCGTTGATTTCGAGATATTATGCAAGTGATAAATTCTGAGAGTTCTGATATATCTATTACAACTGAAGTTTTGTGTTAAGTGAGGCTTCTTAGTTTGAATATTTCATTACTGCTAGTTGTGGACGTGATTATGAAAATGCTTACATCTCAGGAGAAATAAACTTTGCCTGGAGCTACTACCGGTCCCAAGCTCGGATAAAGTTGGAGGGTAAGGGCTTGAAGTCAGCGACCCCATCTCACCAAAGAATTTGACGATTTCGATGGGAGATCTAACTGCCAAGATTGATATGGACAACACTGTATAAGAAGATATCATAGAACGACATGGACTAGGAGAAAAGAACGAAAGTAGTGAGAGATTTGCAAACCTTTGTGCCTTCACCGAAATGATCATTGGCGGCAAGACATTCCCACACAAACGAATACAAAAAGTTACATCGATTTCACCGGATCAAACTACTCAGAACCAAATCGACCATATCTGTATCAACAAAAAGTTCAGAAGGACCATGGAGGATGTGAGAATCAAGAGAGTAGCTGATATAGCCTCAGATCACCACTTGCTGGTCGCCAAAATGGAACTGAAACTCAAGAAGCACTGGATAACGAGGTGGACAACATCACGAAAGAATACCGCCTTTCTTCGGGAGACTGCAAAGTTCAAAAAATTCAAGATATCCCTCAGTAATAGGTTGCAGGCCTTGCACGATCTACGCAAAGGAGAGAAAACAACCATGTAGAACAGCTAGGAAGGGTTGACACCATACGGAACTCTTATGATGGACTTCACTGGAAAATAGTGCATAGAGGACAGCAGATAGACTCGTTTGAAGTGAAGATCATTGTCAGGCAAGGTTTCTTAATCTCGCGCTTTCTCTTTTTCCTGATGATCGACTGGATTATCAAGACGTCAACATCTGGAGGAAAACGTGGTATGCAGTGGACAGTCAGGATACATTTGGACGACCTGGACTCTGCAGAACATCTGGCTCAATAACAAATGCAAGGAACGACTACCAATGTAGCAGCAACCTTAGCAGCAGCAGGTCTCAACATACATAAATGGAAAGCTAAGATTCTCCGATACAGCACAAAATGAGCCAAGATAATCATTCTTGATGGAGATATGCCTTGAAGGACGCTGAAATCTTTACATATCTGGGCAGCATCAGTGGCGACAACAGTGGATCCGACGCAGATATGAGGGCGTGGATAGGCAAAGGAAGGGCTGCATTTCTACAACTGAAGAATATCTGGAACTCCAAACAACTATCAATCAACACTAGAATCAGAATTTTCAGTACAGATATCAGGACCCTTTTACTGTATAGGGCGGAAACTTGGAAAACTAACAAACCCATCATCCAGAAAATTCCGGTTAACAGTTGTTTACGCAAAATACGCTGGATCCGTCGGCCAGACACCATCAGCAACAACCTACTTTGGGAGAGAATACACCATACTCTAGTGTAGGATGATATCAGGATGAAGCGGTGAAAGTGGGTACGACACCTACTGCGGAAAGCACTCAAACGCGTCACAAGACAAGCTCACACATGCAACCCTCAAGGTCAAAGGCAAAGAGAAAGGACGAGAAACACATTACGCTGAGAAATAGAGAAAGATATGAGAAGAATGAACAGAAATTGGACAGACGTGGAAAGAGAAGCCCAGGACAGAGTAGTTTGGAGAATGTTGGTCGGCGGCCCATTCTTTATTGCGAAAAATACAAGAAACAGTGAAATGATTTAAACTTTGCAGATGACTGAAACCTGCTATCACATACACAGCAACAAATATGAATACTTGATTTATCATTAACATTTTCAGATATCAAAACAATATTCCGAAGTACAACGCAGTAAATGCCAGACATACCATATTTGTTAGCAAAGTTCTGGAATGGGGAAGAACCTAAGCATACTTAAGCAGTATAAATTATCAACTTGGAAGACCTGACTCATATTTCAGAGCAAGAATACGATGGTGATAGACAGGATTCATTAAACGAACAGCTTAACCTCAAAATAACAATCAACTTACATGAAAGTTAGACTTTTCATCTCTCACGTAATGTTGCTGGTTGTTTCAAACTTTGGAAAATCCCCATCATCCTAATCAAAGCAGTATGAATATTTCTACACAACTGCTTTTGCATGATATAATTCATATCCATGATAACTTATGCTCATATATTTACGACAAATTATATTTCTAACAGGAGATTAACAACTCATGAGTAAATTTATCCAACAAATGCTATTATATGATAAAAAGACACTTCATTTAGTCCAATGCGTAACAGTCTGTTTCAACGCATATTTGATAAGCAGTACATTACAAAATATCAGATCAAAATTCTATTTTCTCTGAACTAGCCAATAATTTAAAATAGTTTTACAAATATGACAAAATAAACGGAAGTGAAGACTAGATTCATTATGACAATAAGTCATTACGAATTATATTCTATTCATAGGCTGAACAATATAGAAATTCACAACAGCTTTAATTTCGTCATTCGAAATTTTTTGCACTACTAAGTTAGATGCATTTTGTGTCACAAAATGATCATGAAATTTTATGATTAAAAATTTCAAATATTTCTATCGCATATGATATTTGATTTTTTTTCGAAATTTTAACTTGGCACAAATAAAAGTAATAATTTTCTATATTTAAAAAAAAACAAACTGATACATTTAACTTAAATGGTGGTATAAGGAATAATTTCAGTAGGTATTTCTTTAAGACTAATTTACTTCATATGAAATGTATGTTTCTACTTTAAAATAAAAACATTTGTCAACATCTCTCCACAGACTTGAACAGTACAATATAACATCTTAACCTGATGAGCAAAATATTAAACTATTTACGCCATACATTATTTTTTCCAGATTTATAAATTAATATCTCTAATCAGATCACACAAAACTATAAATAAGCATTGAATATGATACTTTTGGAGGAAATAATCAATAAATAAGCTAATAATAGTCTAGTTTGTCTATAATTTATCATGTCATGGTTAAATGAAATAAAACAATGCAACATTTCTATGCAAAAAATGAAAATCATGTAATTTTAATTACTAAAAGCATTTAGTATTGAAATTTAAGTAAAGTCATGCCACAAAAATAACAACATACAATAAAACGATTATATATATATATAAATGTATATATATAATTCAACAGTAGTTGTCAAGACAATTTTTTAAACACTTTGCAAAAGTAGTACTGTTAACCCGATTTTTATCATCATTATTATGTATTGATTAACATACATTCACAAAATCATGAACGTTACATTGATCAACTGGAATGTTCATTACTCTATTTCTGTGCTCATAAATGTCATAAATGAACAGTACTTGTGGATGTTGTGACTGACCAAAAAAACAATGATTACTGTGTCAAACCTTCTCTTATCAAAAAAAAGGTTGCCTGAGTGTTTTAGTTCATTTTGTAAATGTTTTCTTTCCATTATGATATTTACGGAAAATCTCTTTCATCATTTCAATGCTTGTCGATATAAAATGTTTCCCGTCGTAACCGATTTAATATTCATTGAGTTCAATGTTCAAACACCATCTGAACTATAATTCAACATATTGTTTGATGAAGTTAATTGCAGTGTATCATTCTGACTGCTACTTCTTTGATAATCTAAATTAATTAAATGTGTACTAACTTCTAGAGGAATTTCAGAAATTGTTAATTTAGGTTTATTAAGACAATGTTTTTTTCGTTTGCCACTTTGACACATTAACATATTGATAATATGAATACGAAAACGCGCACCGAACGCTAAATACAATATCCAATTATTTTGATTGCCAAAATAAATTAATGAATTAAAGAATTGTCTCAATGTCCAAGATATACATAAATCACCAGTAAGTTTTGCTGCCGCTCTACCTTCACTGCCTTCACCATCGAATAATTCAAACAATAAAAACAACGGATTAGTTAATAATGTTATCACATTCATTGTAAGTAATAATAAAGAGGCTCGACTTTCACGATTATATCCAATAGAACGATTTCGTTTTTGAACAATTGATGAAACACGCGTTAGACGATTACGTTTACGACGTTGATGACGTACTAAGGAAGCTATCACAGCGGATGAAATTAACATTGTTATGAATGGAATCACACGAAATAGAATCAAATCTACATTGTAAACAAGTTTCGTTAAATCTATACTATCATGTGTATTGCCGAATAATTCAGTGGAATTTCTTCGTTCACATGAAACTAATGCTTCATAGTCTATTGAATATTTAGTGATATTATTGGCAGTATTATTATTATTATTATGATCATTACTGACTATCATAAAAATATTCGATGAAGTTGGTTTCGATGATACTATTGTAATCAAAATACCAGATAAACATGAAAATGTTATCAACAAACTAATAGTAAAACGTGTTGCTCTCCCTGTGAATATGATTCTTGTTTTCAATGGTGATATAACCGATGCTAGCCGTTCAATGGATAGACCAGTCTGTAATAGATTCGATGTCCATAATAAACAAACAATAGTTATAACACGAATTAAACATGTACATCGTCCAAATATACTGCCTAATATAACATGATAAGTATGTGTAAATATCACTTCAGCGTACATATCATTCGCAGCAATTAATAAGATAAAGAAATCACTGGCTGTTAATGTAATAAACCATGCACGTGTTGTCGATGCAAATACACGTGGATGTTTTAATAAAACCAAAAAACACAATCCACTAAAAATAATGCCAACAATATTCGCTGTTATCATGTACCATGAAAAGAAATACCATATAAATCCATCAGCTACATAACGACTTGTATGATTTGACGGGCAAAATTCCGATAACATAATGTAGAATGTGACAAATGAAGCGTAATAAAAAATGGAACAAGAATGCTGGCTTTTTGAAATTTACGTTGTGTATATATATTCGATTAATCCAAATAAATAAAATGCATACTTTCCATCAGTTGACTCACGAAACGATTATAGAACGAAGTTCCTGTTTTTATTTTTTTTTCTATTATTTATGTTTATACAAACAAAAACTAAGGCAAATTTATAAACAGATTTAGTGAAAATTTTAATAATAACACTCTAATCTGTTTACAGACCAACAGAATACTTTATGCCATGTAAATCTACCAATCATATAGATGGGAGTTTTGAAAAATTTTCACTAACTTGCCAGTGATTGGTTGAATTGAATGATCAAGTATAATTTAGGGAATGTAAACAGTGACAAGTGTTTTCTTCTGTGAAGAAATCACTGAATATTTTGTTGAGTGAATTGCCGAAATATGTAAATGAACACAGCTTTATATGACTAAAAATCGCATAATGCAAGTTTCTTCATAGGTAAACCCAAAAAATGGATGAATTCTCACATTTACAGGATTATGATATTTTGTCTATGAATTAAACTGATTTTCACCGGTCTACGAGTCTAGGAATATAAGTGTACGGCTATTAAAATAATAGTAGCCACTAAACATTTTATTTTGAAATTCTAAAAATCACAACTAACATTGACTAACAATAGTCAGTTTACTTTTGTAATAAACAGTGGATTAATGGACACTAGTGACTGATAATTTAAAACCTTGTAGTTAATTCTATTTCAAAATGTTTTGTAATTTCTTCATTTGAAAAAGGAAATCTAATACAAGAGGCTATTAAAATAAAAGCTTAATCAATAGAGTGCATTGCAGCTTCAATTGGTTTTATATTCATGAATGTAATTTCAACATCTTAGAACTTTTTTCCATGTAATTTTTCTCTTGAGTTTAGACTAAAATATCTATATAATTATAAATGTAAAGCTGAGTTGGTTCATTTTAAAAATCCATGTTGCATATAAGTGGTTTAGGAAACATGCTGGCTGAAATTTTTTTAAAACCATTTTAATAATATAGAAGTGTCCATTTTTAATGAAGGCTTCAAAGAGTGTAATTTTTCTCTTTCACTACATAGCACTATTTTACTGAAAATAGAATCTTTTAACATTTTTTTATATAGCATTTGAGAATGCGACTAACAGAAATTTCTGAATAAATATTTTCTACTGCTGACTACTTATCAGTAAAATTTTAGATACTTTTCAAATATCTGCAATGTGTTTGACCTAACTCAATATTATTGTCATAAGCATTTTTAAGCAAAGATAGATTTAAGTACCTTCAATGCGTTGAGTTCAATATAAAACGAGACGCTTATCGTGGAAATCGCTGCTAACGACCGTTCATCTTTGCACAAACATTGTAAAAATCATTTTCTTTTTGAAAGAGTTGACTCATTTAAGATGTACCAGTTAGCCTGTTTTACTTTAACTCAGAGTCACTGGATGAGAATTATTTATTCTGTCGGATCGATTCGAATGAAAAACGCTAAAGTCCGATTGGCATGCATCGATTAGCGATTAGGATCATTATAACTGTAAACTTGTCTGATGATAATGATGTTGATCTTTATTTCAACATGAAGTTATTTGGATGACATTGCTGGTGCACAAAATAATTTAAGTGTTTTTTACTTAGTTCAGAATAATTATTTAGTTTCTAAATAACTTTGACATGATTTGAAATTTTAGTGTCCATATCTTATAGATTGTTTTATAAAAAGTCATTGTAACAGCAATATCATACTGTTTGTATACACAAAATGCAAATAACTTGCAAACTAAACAGGTTCTTTGCAATATCAACAACAATAAACTAAATTTAGAAATTATAATCTCATCAACCTATCAAACCATATGTTAATATAATTATCTATTTAGCATTACATATGTTATTGTTTTTTTTTATCAGCTTCATGACTGTTTGTTTTGATTTGCATACTCCATCAGCAAACATTTTCACATCTAATCAATGCCTAATCTCTTTGTCATGTCAAAATGATTTATTTAAGGCTGAAGATTGTATCGTTCATATAAAGTTTCGCATGGTTGAATTTGTAATTGATTTTAAATGGTCATTCAAATATCGAGACGACAAGTAGTTAATGCTGCTTTACACGTCCCATAGTTGATTGATGATGATTCATCCACTGAAATGTTTAATGAGTTCTCGCTGCTCTTCTGTGACTGATTGTAGATATGATGATCAAATGTTGGATGATGTTCTGAAACTATAGACATTTCACTGGTGATAAGCTTATTGTTCTGTAAAATTTGCTATATATATATATATATATTTCGATTTCAGTAGTGACGTCAGTTATTACTAAGATAAAGTACTAGACTTTCATTTGCTTATAAATAATAAATTGTATTCCAAAAATAATAATCTTAGTTTACAATTTTTACGAACATTCAATGTTCTGTTTCATTGATACAATAAATATCACAAAAGATTAAAACATCCTAAGTGAAATTGTTGATGACGTAATTAGCACCATATTTTTTTAATCTATTTTATCAGCCTAACTGTAATTTCATGGCCAGTAATACAGGAGAACATCAATATATTCATGACAACATATAACCCATAACTCAGCCTTCAGCTCTTTATAAGCTAATGCCAGTTCGAAGCCTGGATACAAGAGGATGGTTGTGCATGGGGTTAGCAACCATATCCCGTGGAAAGAAATTTTACTATAAAGCGCTCATCAGAAAAAAAACTTAAATTTTGCCATGAGAGTTTGTAGGTCTTCATTTAGAAGAGTTACGACGCCTCGTCGTAAAATCCAAGTTTCCTCGATACCAGGAGACCTATGCTGTCTCCGATAACCAGAGCAAAAACTCATAAACTCAATGAAATTTTCGCATAATGTCGGAGAACGGAAGAACTATTAAAGTTACTGAGGAAGTAAAATGACACGAAGTAGAGGTGCTTGGTTTCAGTGAAAGTCATCGAATAAAAACTAAAAGGAAGAGATTAGCTCCAAAAAAGATACCGTTTTACTCCGTTAATGATCAAAAATGCCTCACTTGTACAATGAGTAGCTCATGAAGCACTTATCAGATGGAAATATCATAGACACAGGATCATCAAAGCCTCATTACAAACACAGAAAGCGGGGATCACAATAAATATCGTTCAATGCTTCTACTAGCGATAACAATGAGCTCGATGAAGACCGAGTTTATGAAAACCTTCAGTCACTTGACAAATAAGGTCCTGAAAATCCTTACAAGGGGCTTAAACACTGAAGTTGGAATGAACAACATCGGATATGGAGTTTTCATAGGATGGCATGAACTGGAAGGAAGGAACATAAATGGTTATAGGTGGTACCATATTTTCTCACAAACGCATACACAAAGCTACATAGGATCATTCCCTAAAGAACCAAATCCATCACATTTGCATCAATAAAAATTTGAAATGTATCATGGAAGATGAAAGAAAGAAGGTAAAAGCTGACATAACTTGATATTGGCCGAAACGAAACTGAAGCCAATGATGCACTGGACAACTGGACAAACAGCATTAAAAACGATTATAACCACACTTTAGCTGGATACTAGTCAACTCAATGAATTCAACGTAGGTCTTAGTAATAAATCCCAGGCCCTTCATAGTCTACTCAATGAAGATAAATCTACCATAGAGTACAAATGGAAAGGGAAAAGAAAGAAGCAATAACATCAGCATATCATGCGATTTTCGAACAAAAGATATATTCCATAAGTAATAGGTCTCTGAAGATTTCTGGGTGAGATCCAAGAAAAGAAGAATAGGAAAACAGCAGTCAACAGGAGCAGTGCATAAACAAGTGAAGCTGAAAAACAGAAAAATATCATAGATCTAACAGTAACAGCGGATAAAGCTGCAAGGGAAGAAAACATGAGACAACTATGCGGTACAAGGGAGCTTATTGGTATAGTAAACCAGAACGACTAGTAAAGAACAAGGAAGGCGATCTCCGACAAAGCTGAGTAGAGCAGTTTGAAGGACTCTTGACCAACATTACTCAATCCACCCAAAATCGAAGCAGCAACTTCAGTCCATCCAACTGATTTTGACTCCACAACAATTGAAGAAATTGGCCTGGTCGTCGGACAAATCAAGTGTAGCAAAGTAGTGGGCCAGATAACACAGTAGCTGATGCACTGAAAGCGGACATAAAAGTAACTGAAAACATACTCCACGCTCTCTCCAGCAACATTTATGATGATAGAAAAGTACCAGGATACTGGAAGGAGCGACACCTCACCAATATATAAAAGAAAGGAGATCTTGGCAAGTGTGAAAAATACAAAGGCATCACTGAACTATCAATAACAGGAAGACGTTTCATCAGGGCGTGTTGAACAGGATCCAAACTGTCATCTATCAACTGAAACATATAAGAGAATTCCAATAGCCTAAAATTGTAGTCAATTTAGATTATGATTAACACTAGGATTTACGTTTCTCATTTCATCCTGTTTAGCCAAAGCCAGCTCAGTACATCTAAAGTTTAGTTTCCTTCTTCGTATTAAAACTTGAACCCAGTGCTTAATCACTTTGAACTTCAATGCGTAATCTACTGTATCAGTGTAGCCAATATATATATATATATATATATATATATATATATATATATTATAATAGTAATGTTGAATTTCCTCATTTTCATAGGTCCCTCTTGAGTAGATTGCTTCGATAGTGGTTATCTGGATCAAGAGGTTCAGTGAATTATACATTTACTTTCTGAAGGATGTGTACTTGGTTTATCTTTTATTATGAACATTATTACTGATATGTGTGTACCAAATATAACGTAATGGACGAAGAAGAAATCATTTTCATCCCTCATACATCCTTCAAGATCTTATCATTGGAGATAGTACCAAAACAATAAACTTGGCGTATACATGTCGATAGAGTCTGATTGATTGTAAACCTGAGTATAAACTGGAAAACTTAAACCTTTGTTTGTATTTATTCACACACGTACAACTAAAATTTTTCCTGAGTAGAGAACTTAACGGTTCAAATTTTTCTTGAATAATTAATCATATACACGAACAAAAGCATTGGACACGCGATCCATTAGTATCACAAGTTTGTACATGAATAATGATTACGTACAAGGAATATTGAAATATTAAATAAAATTCAAATAATTTTCATATAGCTCTTTGTTATGACGGTGTTTTGTTATGTAATCTAAGTGTCTGATACTTTTGGTGAGAGAAATGCTCTGATCATTCGTCATGAAATCTGTAGTTGGTACACTGTATCAATGGTAACTGAACTTGTAGGTCATACTTAGGGAAGTAGAGACCAAACAACCATTATTTTTACATAATGTTTTTTCAATCTACAAGGTAATTAGTGATAATAACTGTTCATTATATAATACTTAGAAATTTGATTAAAGATATCAGTTAACTAGGAAGTAATTATAGTTTGATTTTTAGTTAGTTAAACTGTCGTTAAATTACGATATGCTCTGGCTGTAATTCTCACCACTCAACTCAAACCAATAACCTATTGAGTACTGTCAACAATTAGCTAATGGTATAACAGAATTTAAGTACAGTCGAATTGGAAATATAACGTTTACATCAATGAAAAACGTGAATAATCACGGTATATGTTGAGAAGATAATTTCATTCAGAAATATCCACAATTCAGAGAAATTAGTACAAGTTCGAAATTACTCTTAAATAAACACAGACAACCAGAAGACACTTATCAATATTTCAATGGCTCATTGATCAATAGTCATTTAAGGTAAACACCAACTGCCAAAATCTTTTTATTACTGATTCCACTGAAATTTTTCCGATGATCTCAAGTTTCTTCGAAATTTTGTAGGTTTAACTGACATCATTATATGATCAGTTTAAAAAAAATAGGTTTGGTTTTTAGTTTCGACTTTTTCGATGAATTTATATTCAAGTGAAATTTCATTCATTTGCGTAACTCGCCTATTATTTAGTCTGTTATAATTTTCTTAATTCTTTTTCTTTGTCTCTAGACTCAAACGTCTAGCAAATATGATTCAATATTCATTAAATGGTTTGATCAAGTTGTATTTCACTCATCCAATTTAAGTTATCAACTTCAAAATTGGTTTGCTACTACAAGGCAGAGTTGGTGGAATCAACCAATCGAAACTAATCATGCCAAACGTCTATGGGAATCAACCGATTCTTATCCATTACTAAGTGGATTTCATATTGAATGGAAAATAAATATTATTTCCTATTTGAATTTCTACATGAATAATGCGTACAATTTAAATCCGTTTAAATTGGCATTACATATAGACCACAAGTGAGACTAGCTGTTCAATTTAACTTCTATAATTATTTACTTTTCTCTCCATATATAGCTTACACGGTTTATCTACTACGGTTTAACGTATCAGACAACAGTATAAGCTGGACCAGTTTATAAAAATGTAATTCAGTTCAGTCGTTTGGATTAAGCATGTTTAAAAGGAAGATGAAGACATTTTTGGCTGGTTAGTATGTCCTTTCTTGCCAAAAAGTACAATCACACATAATTCTTAAACAAATCGTGATCATCGCATCACATTCCAACTTCACAGTGTTTTGTAACTTCGTCTATGCAACTAAAAATATTCACCTTACTATCAACGCATCTGAAAAAAGTTGTTCAAGTGAGAATAATAAACTACTGACTAGACATTAAAAAAATAGTGAACACAACAACTTAATGTCATGACTAAATATATATATATATATATATATATATATATATATATATATATATATATATATATATATATATGTAGATCAACAAATGTTTTGTAGATAAAGAAAACGTAAGAACTAAACACCCCTGTTACAAAAAAAAATTAATGCTATTTCAGTGCAGCAGCGTTTTATCTAACAAAGTTGGCATACGAAAAAAAAAAATTAGTAATGGCTTCGCATTCATTATCAATCACATGCACTGAAATTTATTATTCTGTTCCATTCAGAATTAGTTTTTTAAATTTCATCCTCGAAGATTAAATAATGGATAGTAAGTAGTATTTGTCAGGACAGCTACAAAAGCGATGACAAGCAAGCATAAAGAAGATTAAGCAATAAACTAATGAAATTGTTATCATTCGATAACTGAAATCATTCTTTTTATGTCTGTTTTTATTTTTTACAGAGGGAACATTGTTTTTTTCAAACATTAAGAATTGATTCTGAGAAGATTATACTATTGATTAGTTATTTTAGTAAAATGACTTATCAAAACTATCGAAATCGGTTTAAATATTTAGTAATTTTAATATTCAGAAAATCATTTTTCAATACATAGTAAGGCGAAAATGGTACATAATTATTTCGGATAATTGCATTACAGATACTTTATTATTAAAATATTTACACAACTCAGATCATCTATGTATTCTTTATCACCTGCTTGCAGACAACGATTTCATGGAATGTTTTTCATAATGAGTCTATGTATATTGTGATAAGGTTACTGGTTTCATGCTGTTTGAGCCTCATGGTCCAGTTGTAAAGCTTTGATTGTTCTTTTGAACAGCCTCATCAGCAAATACTTTAAACAGAAGTGACCTTCACTAGTTAACAGTTTATCCTGACGACCTTGAGTTTAGTTACTTGTTGTATGAATCATGCTTGTTTTCGGCGTTTTCTATCCAGATCTGAAGTCTGATCTTGCATTTGTTAGTCTTTTTTCTTAATGGCTGATAACTTTGGTCGATTTCGATGCTTGATAATAGTGCCAGGCTTTGAAAACGCTCTGACTTCCTTTGAGATTCCTCTAGTCAATATTTCAATATTTTTCTATTCCAGCACATGTCAGTCGCTATTCACATGCAATAATGCAAGCAAAGCTATATAAAGTCATTTAACAGTTAACTGGAATTCATATAGATGAATAGATGAGTGCAGTGACCGCGTTCCCGTTTGTTGCAGTTGCTAAAATTCATCTTGCATAAATAATATTTTAACTTGTATTCGCTTGTCTTTATAACCTTTCTTTGAACAATGTTCTTTGCATCTATCTTATTGGTTCATCGGTTACATCTAGTGATCTTAATAATCTGTTAGTGATCTTGGAGATATTCTTCATGTTGTGTAAAACTATTCCTTGACTGTTCTTTGTCACTGATTTTATAGCTGATCGTCTTTCTAATAATATAATATATATGATGTAATTTTCCATGTAGCCATTTTTTTCGTCCAAAGGCCATACTGTAATGTGTCTTCAATCTTTTATTAGAATTTAAATACAGCTTATTTTCGGACCCATCGGGTTTCTGCTGTTGTATTTGTGTGTCTGATCATTATCGGTTAGTATCTGATAGAAATTAGTCCCAAATTTCCCAGTATTGGTTCTCGTTATCATAATGTCCGAAAATGATAGTTCCATGTCTGATTCCGCTTCTAATGTAAATTTCATATCGTTAAATAAATCGTTAATCGATTTGTAGGCTTTTTCTAGCTGATTCTCTTTGCTAATGCTAATTATTGAAATTGAAAAATCATATAATGGGCTGACAAATATAAATAATGAATTATTTGTAGACTACATAACTCGTGGCTCACAAATTCGTTTGCATTTAGTTGCTACTGTCATTCTGCTGTTAAATGAAAAAAAATATGTTCATATAGTGTAAGTTTAGCAAACAGAGAGAATGTCAACCTAAAAGTGAATAGTCTTTATTTTTATGTACTTAAATACAGATAAAATACAATTATCGATATTATCTGCCATTTGTCTGAGTTCATAATGATCATCGCGAATAATACTCTATGATTAAACCGACCAATGACAAAATTTATTAACTAAAATTAAGAAAAGTCTGTAACCTACAGGATATCAAGCTTAATTACAAAATACTAATTATTGTCGTTTATGCTACTGATAACTTAAGGGGTTATTATGATTTGGCCAACATACACAGGATCAGTAAAACACAACAATGTCGTCAGTATTGCACTTAAGTCTGCTTAAATATTCATCAAATTAAATAGGCTTAAATGCTATACATTTTAAATCATCAATCAATCATTGTTAGACCACCATTAGAAACCTGGAAGCACTGGATGGCCGTTTCGTCCTGGTATGGGACTCATCAGCAGTGCTATATGGTTATCCGATTTTATTTTAGGCAAACTAATACAGTCGATCTTGTGTCGCGCTTGATTCATATGACATTTAATTTCGATTCACGCGGTAAGCAATGAGCGCTAAAATAAATAAAACACGACAACGCCCTATACATCTAGCCGAAAATACGTAACACGTTAATTGCTAACAACGGAAAAAACGAATACAACTTAACGAAAATTATATTGAAGCGCTTAAAGAAGTACAACTTCTACAAGAAGTCGAAGTAAACAACCAAATACTATGAGCGAATTACACTTATCTATATTCGCCGTAAAAACTAGGTAGACTACATATATTTAGAGAAGCTTAAGAGAAGCACAACACTGAAAATATCTAAAAATTTATTAAATTTGAATATTAATTGGACCAGACATCAATGAAAAATGAATTCGACCAATTATTATTACTCAAAAATGTTTTATTCCCATGATTCACTCCTATGTTGCAAGCATTTACCCAAATTAGGACATACGAAATTTGATATAATTTCGTCTGGATTCAGCAGTTAACAGTTTTATTCTTCAAAATCGTTGTTATTTAAAAAAAAGTCAATTTATACTTGATTAACTTTCAATTTTTTTCATCCAATAAAATAGTTTTTACTAAAAACAGGTCTTCACTGAATGATGGAAAAAAATTTGTAAAATCAGAAATTTACTCAAAATATATAACAGTGTGTTTTAAAAACAAGTTTTCGTGTCTTTTCCATACATTTTATATATCACAGATCGAATTTGTACATTTCTGAAAGCATACTATTTGTGATTGGATCTCATGAAAACTTTGGCTTTCGATCGGATCAACAAATTGATTTGAATTTTCACATAAACGATAGTTTTAAATTCACTAGTGAAACTAATGATTTGTCACTGGAATTATTATTCCACCCATGGAGTCATAATTTCGAATTATTCAAATATATGTAAGTTCTAAGCTCGATAACTCACTTCTGTTTTATCGTATGCTAAACTAATAATTATTCTAAGGATGTTAATTGATTAAAACACCTGCGAGATGTTGAGGAAGCACAACCACTGTCTTGATATACTATACTGCCGGGTGTGGAACTTAGTTGAAGAAAAGATAAGGGTAGCTATTTGGTTATGAGTTTTTTGCTTGATTTGGGTACAAAAATTACAGCTTCCCGGTTTCTTCAAACGTTAACTGTTTTCATCATATAGTGCATTGCCGAATATTATTTCCAAACAAACGTGGAAGCTGATATTACATTTTCTTTTCATTTTCTGTTAACTATAATTTCTGTTTGGTAAAGTGAAAAATGCAAAAGTTTTCTATTCAACTCAAACACTAGAATATGTTTTTCTAAATGTACTTTGTTAAAGATCTAACAATATGATAGTAATAAAAGTCTCACTTGTTTAATAAAGACTCACTAGTTTCTATTTCAAATAAACCACTTTTTCTTACATTAAAAAAATGTTTTTAGGAGAAGTGATTATTTCGTGAAAAATGGCAGACCATACATAGAAGACAGTGATCTACAATCTTTAGAATCACAGCAATCGACAACAACGACAACTCTAAAACCCTTTAACTGGTTTCATTTGAACATTGGTCAACTATGTGATACTGGAAACGTATACTCATCTGTTCAAGTATTTCGAGCTGATGTGATTGAAGCTAAAGGCTTCTTTTTAAAATTTAATTACTTGTCTACTAACACAGAGAAAAATAACAAAAATAGCAGGATTATTATGTTTATCGATCGACCGAGTGTATCAATGCAACAGAATTCTGAAAAAAAAAGTAATGTCTTTCAGTTTGACTTGACAATAAACAATGAAGAAAATATTTTACGACATGTTGATTTAAAATTTTCAACATATCTAGAAGATTCTTACCACTTACAAAGTAAGTTTACGTAGTTTGAAGACAAAAATCTTGTCAGTTTGGTTTTGTTAAAATAGCCTATGGAAAATGGCTACTTTTCAGAAATCCCACAAACCATTCACTAGAAGTTCACAGAGTGAGTTAATGAGGACAATAATGAATTTCAATAATTCCACTCAGTTCACTGGTTATTTTTATGATAAAAATATATTAAGCTTTACAAAAACAAATGTTCATTCATTTTTATACTACTTGCAATGAAGAACAAGTTCATGGTACGGTTCATTGAAATTTACTAACCTAATGTTGTGCATACACTAAGCAAAGTACAACTAGATATCGGTGAACTGAATGATAAGCAGTGGCACAACAAAGGCGCATCAAAAATAGTAAGCATTCGATTCAAGCGTAAAATATACAATTAAAAGGAGCGCACTTATTGATAGAACTAACCAGGTCCTTACAAGTAGGAAACACAAACTGAAGGAAACAATCGGGCTCATTTTCTCGGAAATAAAAGAAATTCAAATTTTCAAAAGTAAATTTCAAAATAAAGAGCGATTTGTGGCGATCTAGCATATTCAAAACTCTAATCGACTGAGAACTAACACGAATTATGTAAACACATTTTTTGTTGTAGTTCGTTATCGATTTTAAAACGTTTCATACAACCATTTCAGCATTCAAGTTCAGTGTTATGAAAATTATACATATACATATATGTATATATGTATGTAGATATATACATAAATATATATATTTTTGCGAAAACTACACAGATATTATCTTTTAAGTATTACCACTTAAAAGAACTGCTTAACAGCTTTCATATTAAAACAAATGTTTATGTTTATATTCAGTAGATCTTCACACTGTTTAATTTCACATACTATAGCAACATGTTACCATGCTTTTTATTAAACAAAATAAGAATATCGAAGAAATATCCGTAGCTTCGGAGTTCATACTTAAATCTTTCAAGTATCAATATATGAAAGAAAGACCTACATTTTAATCTGATGATTTAAGATTAAAAAAAATATAGAACTCAGTTTTTCTCAGCTGCTTAAATACAATTTATTTTACTAACAGACTACTTGCTATTCAATATTTCTTGCCCATAAACAAAACTGTTTGAATTGAGAGCTTTAAATATCTAATCACTAATGTTAAATTATTCACTAACTACTTAAAAACCCTAACAACTAAATATCTTTCACGCATTCATAATCTAAATACAGATGTACAATATAGTCTAGTAGATCTCACGTATACACAGCATATGTAGTGTTTCACTTAATACTTACTTGAGTGGAATTAAGAATAAAATTTAATCATTTTGCTGATTTACTTGAAAATAGAAAGTTTCATTATCCATCTTGACCCTGTTTGAAGTTAAACAATATACTAACCATTACCTTAGATAGCATTTGAAATGGTTTTACGTCATCAAATTTTGCTAGACTACGACTTAATTAGCTATTTCACCATCCTCCTAATCAATAATTTATTACGACGCAGTCTAGTAAACAATCTTAAAGGTTTTATAGTAAATTTCTGCATAAACAGAGATGTTGATGGAAAGGAATAAACACGAACTTTAGAAATAAAATGCTTATATTCTTTTCAAAATATTAGTAACAGTCAATGAAATGAACTACACAAACCCTATAGAGAATACAATCCAGCTGTTATTTTCAAACAGACATTTAAAGTAACCATATGCATCAATCTTAATTATAAGTCAAACCACGGATTATCACAAAACAATTGACGATAAATTAAAAAAATATCGTGAATATTATTTTCATATCTGATAGTAAACCATTTTCTATTACGGCATGATTTTAACTCGACGGTACGGTATAAAAATAGACAAACTCATTTTGGTTATAGCCAACCACACCTTAGTTATCGGCTCAACAAAAAACTTTGTTATAACGGACGTCTTAATATAATATTTGAATTCGCTATTCAGTAAAAAAAGTATATCCATAAGTAATCGATGTAATTGCGAGCACGCAAACAAGGTTTCATCTAAAATATTGAAACAAACAAATGTGTTGATTCAAGTGCCTGAAAAAATAATATTCCTATGAGGAATAAGGTCTTTCATACAATTGAAAAAAATATTAACTTACTGATAGAAAATAAAAATGAGTATACCAAATTTTTCAAGAAATGAAGAAAACATCATTTGATGTCTGTTTTCAGCTTATATTTACCGAAAAATTTTATCTGAAACTGTCAAACGGATCCATCATGAATGAGAACAATGATGATCAAAAACAAAATAGTTTAAATTCGTTTTCTAAACTGATAAAAGCAATCTTTCACTATAGAGTTAGGAAGACTGTTGTTTTACATGAAAATCGTGAATCAGTCATTGTTACACCACTATTAGAAACCTGGAAAAATTGGACAGCCATTTCGTCCAAGTATGGATCTCTCCAGAATTGCGCACCCTAGACCCCCGCTTGCGGGAATCGAACCAACGACCTTCGGTTTGGCGCGCCAACGCTTACCCTCCAGACCACTGAGTCAGTCAGCTAGTAACCGTAAATTCTCGAAGATCTAGTGAGAAGTTGCAACTAATGGAGTGCAACCCGGGTGTAGTCAGAAACCACTGTAGACAATATGTGAGGTTGCGCAAAACGTTTGACTGATTAAACTTTAGACACTGACTTCGTTGGATTCCGGTCCAAAGGTCCAGAAGTAAGCGTCGTTGCGCGAAATTGAAGATTCTGGGTTCATTTCTTGAGAGTAGGGGTCGTGATTGCGCGATCACATAATAGGACGAAGTAGGCGTCCAGTGCTTCCAGTCTAACAACGACTGTTTCACGATATCTATGTGAAAATAGTTGAATTCACATAAAGCGTAACTATATTTGTTCGACTTGTTCTACAATGAAGTAATTGTAATGGGTAATATTGACAAATAAAACATAATCCTGTTAATTATTTCGGGTTATGTCTCTACTGTATTCTAAATTAAGACTTTCTCCTTAGAAAACTTCATAACTTGGTGTTTTTTAAAGCATTTAAAAACTAAAAAAAACACTACATAGTTTTGAAGTAATAATGCCATTGTCCCATATACGTTTGATTGTGCAATAGAAAAACTTTATTTGTTTTAATACTGTCACATGGTTTACAGTCATGGAGAATAGTACTGACAAATGTAATTTGAATAGCTGGTGGTGAAAATCGATTTTTTCCAAGTGTCAATCAAAGGCACTGCTAAGTGAAATGTCTTGTTGTGTTTATAATTACTCTGAATAAACAATCTAAGGAAGTAAAATGGCTTGAACAGTATTACACAACATTTCCGTTCTTTTTTGTGATGTGAAAAATTGCTAAAATTTCATAATTGTTGTTTTTTTGCGAATCGAATCCTACAACATGAGCATAAAATGAAGAGTGAAGTAGTCTAACGATGTTGTTAATAAACCTTATTACATATAAAAAAGATGATAATCAAATCTAATTTATCGGGTTAGAAGATCTCTAATTCAAAAATATTCCTCAATAAATATCATTACAAAACTTATTGTTGTTTAAGCCTAAATTTAACGTTGGAATTATGCTTCACTTAAATTCAACACAAAACGTCTAACGTCTATTTGATCAATGTTCATTTGAACGCAGCTAAATTTGACCTCTTTAATTCAAAGCATAACTCACACTGGGTAAACTATTCACTGAATAAGTAAAATAATTTATTTCATTGCTAATTTAAACCTTTATTATGCAACAGTAAAAGGATTCATCCCAAGGTTTTACACTATAAAAGTAGACATTTTATCGACACTGACGAATTTATATTCCATTCACTGATATAAAAAATGCTTCTTATTCATGTGAAAGACAGGTTACACACACAAACATCATTAGTGAAACACATTTTGTCGGTTGACACATATGTGACCATTAATTAGAAGCAATGCTTTTTCAATATTTCGTCTAATCGTAGTCAAAATGTCGTTATGTGGGAGAAAAACGAATGGTCAATATCTTGTATTGATGATACAAGTCTTTGTACGTTCACAATATGCATAGGTAAGTTTCTGAACGATCTAAGTTAATTTATGATACGTACCGACTGAAATTCTTCGGTGAATCGTAGGAAATTTTTTTTTTGCCTTTATAAATTATGTTGTAAATTTGTATGTTATTTTAGAACACCTGCGGTTAATTTTTACATGTATCGACACATTCCAAAGTGTTTATAAATAATTTTTCTCCTGAATATACACACACATAAGCTTAATGTTTTCGAGACTTTTATTTTATGTTGACCGAAAAATTATTTTCACTGAAAGCATTTCGATTAATTTTTATTTGTCATTTTTGATTTTCAAAAAGATGATTCTTAAAAGCTCCATATGATATGGACAGAAATTTCTGTCTATTTTTAACTTTTTCAGACAATTTTTTTTAATGAAGGAAAAATGGAAATCCTAATGTTCTTATAATGAATGTGAATGAATGCTTTTGTGTACATATGTACAAATAGTGAGATTTCCGAAGCTCGGAAATTTACGAACTTTCGCTAAGTAAACTTTCGAGTAAATGAACTATTAGGAACTGAATCGATAATAAGTGATTGTCACATTGGAGAAGATAAGGTGTCACATTATATATATTAATACAAAAAAATATATTGTCCCTGTAGATATATATAACACCCATCTCAGAGAATGAAACTCGACCACAACACAAATATAGCATATGCAACCTTGTGTTTGCTCTCTATCCTGATTGATAAAAGTTATTCAGACTAAAAGATATTTTTAATACTTCATAAAATAGTCTAATCTTGTATTGCTTCCATATTGCTGACATATTTGTAGTTAATATCACCCACGATGGTTTAATCCAAGCGATTGGTTGCTTGAATCAACAAAGAATACTTCAAGCGAATGGAAGTTTTGAAGTACACGAAAATAATACAAATGCAGTTGTACAAGTTTATAATCCTTCAAGTATTTTAAATTTCAGTTTTCAAAAATACCACAATTCCTTTTGCATGATACAAGCGATTAGTCAAGCTGATCAGTTTCCATTTCAGTTCAGTTGTAAGTCAGTGTTGCTAAATCAATGTTATATATATGTATATATATATATATATACCGATAATTGTATACTATTACTAAAGTATAGACCTGTTTGTGTTTGAAGTTATGACTTTTGTAACAATCTTTCTTGTTAATTCCATTTTAAGGCATCAGATTACCAGGTCGTTATTATTACAGCTGATGTTTGTTAGTTCATATCAAACCTTAGATAATATATTTCATTCAGAGACCTAGGAAAATCTTCAGCCATTATCTGAATATCTCTGTCATAACGTTTTCGAAATATTTTGTAGCATCAGTTACTGAAGCAGACATAATGTGACCACACTACTAATTGATCATAGTTAAATACAGGCCAAAAGTGTATGATTAAATATGATGATTGTTAGAGGGATTGGTTTTACACCTTCTAAAACAATTTCTTTACACTCTGCATTCCTGTGAAATGACTGCATAAACTTTATACCGTTTACATTACTTATAATTTGTATGTAATCGACAATTAATCTAAACACATATGCAGAAAAACGCTTGAAATATAAAGGCAGTTCTTTCAAAAATCTAATAACGTTCAGTAAGCATACTGAAGTATGCTGTCCAATGTGAATGTTTGCAATTTATGTCAATAATGAATATCTTTTCCAACTTGCCTATTTGCAATGACAGTTATAAATGGCGATTTCTCTCAAAACAGGAATTAGAATATCAGTCTTGTTTGCATAATAATTTTCAAGTCAGCCTAGAAAATTTACGACTAGACTTTTCTACTAATTTGACAGATTTCGAACTACACTTCAAAAACAAAATCATCAAGACAATTAGTTGATTTCAAGTGTGCTTTGCCTATCCTTAATTAAAGTAAATTAATAAAACTACTGCATCAAATAAACACTTCTCCGCTGCAAAAATAATTTGAATACAAACAGTCTATCTAGTGAATATATATATATATATATATATATATATATATATATATATATACAAAGCCAAATTAGGTAATCGTTTAATTGAAATCGCAAAAAAACATCTGTTTAAACGCTGATTATTTGAAACATCTTCATTACTGACAACAAACGACCACAAATCCAAGTTGATTTCTTTCACTAACTAAAATTAATTGGAAAACTATTAAAAAGTGGGGTATATCGAATAGGTTTACCAATCTGCCTTGAGACGTCTCTTCATTGTTTTTCCATGAAACCACAGTGATCACGAACTAGAACCGTCAAGGATACAGTGAGCTAGGTATTGTCAAACTAATGAGCGGAAAGAATAATGAAATAGACTCAATAATAGTCTAATAAACTTTAAGTATCATCTCATTGTCAATGGTTCACCAGTTGTTGCTAGATGGCTTTCATGTACCTAGCCAAAACGTTTATAAAGCTTAAATGTTAAATTCGAGCAATTATATATCCTGTTCAGGATTGTGGGATGGTGCCCAGTATTACCGGTCAATCAAAGAAATTTATTACGAGATATCGACAAGGTTTTCCTATACATGATAAGCAGCCGACTGCTTATAGGGAATTCATTATTCCCTTTCACTTAATGAAGATGAGGTTTTCGAAAAAATAGAAGAAAGAATCACAGTAGAATTGAAAATAATGGTCTCTCTTGCTCGACTGGTTTCCTTATACAGCAGTAAACGATTTTTATGTCGTTCACAAACATCTCGATAACCTTACAACATCACGAGTTGAATTTATCGATTTTTATATACTTGAAGTAGGTAGCATATAAGAAGGGTAGGGTAACATGTTTCTAATAGGTTATATTAATGTGCTACGAGAAGCTTGCGTATGAAAAGCGATAGAGTCTTAACATGTTGAATCACCAAGTACCTGATAGTTAATGGACAGGGTAAGTATATTTGTCAAGCACTCAAAATATCTGACAAACAACGGATAGTTAATTTACTTGGTTTTTTGGTGAGTCATTTATATAGTTAAATTTCTCAGACTTGACTTGCGTGTACGAGAGTAAGGCGTGACAAACCTCTCTTTCGTGATGATTGTAGCTGGAATGAAATAATTTCTTGACTAGTAGAAAGTCATTTTGATACATATTCTTTCGATTTTGTTTCTATTAATGTCAAATATATATGCAATCAATATCTTGTAATCCGTTTCTCTACTCTACCATGATTCTTACTAGTAATCGCTAAACTTTACACTTCTCTCTTTTTAAACGAAAACTAATTTGTCTCAAGTGAATCTAATCAAATAATGCTTGTCTTATTTTTCTTATGATTAATTACTTTTTCATTTCAAACATCCTATATAACTTCACGAAGAAAAGCAGATCGAACATATTTTAGGAATTATGTTACTCTAGAAATCATCAATCAATCAATCATTGTTAGACCACCATTGAAGACCTGGGAGCATTGAACGGCCGTTTCGTCCTAGTATGGGACTCACCAGCAGTGAGCATCCACGAATTCTGAACCCCTAACCTCTGGATCACTGGGCCGGCATCCAACTGTGTTAATGTAGAACTCTGATCAATCTAGGGATTTTGTGCGACCTCACGCATTAGTCTTTGATAGTAACTGCCTACATCCCACCGCATACAGAGTTGAACTCCACTGGTCACGTCTTCTCGTTGTAAAGATTAGTGCTTTTACATATTTGAAATCATCAATCAATGATTGTTAGACCACCTCCATATCTCTAATTGAAAATATCATAATATGTGCTCACCAGTGACTGGCTTCGTTCGGAAATTCTAGCAGTTCTAGTGAGAAGACGTGACCAGTGGAGTTCAACCTTGTTGGGTGTAGGCAGTAACTACCAAAGACAAATGGGTGAGGTTGCGCAAAATCTGTGCATTGATCAGAGTTAGACAGCATTCCTGACCACGTTTTCTTCGAAACCGTATGAATTTCATTTTGAAAGCTCTTTGTAACTACCTGGTTAAGTTTTAGTTTGATAGAGCCTGTTGATAATAAACTCTCTTAGCAACACAAAATGACTATAGTTGAATTTGTTCCGTAAATTTTTAAAATTTAAATTAGTGCTTTTTTCAATGAATGACAAAGAAGCCTTCTTAAAGTAAAGAAAGTCAAAATAATCTTAGTAGAAGAACATTTCTAATGAGTAAACAATTTAACAAGAGTAAACGATACGATAAATTAGTAGATACAACCCAACATATTAACATGGAAACATAATAAAAAAGAACTGTTTTATTCTATAAGTAGAATTTCATATCAAAATTTGCTCTAAATTTTTATAAGTCTTCAAACGAAAATAAAAAGGTATAAATGTCCATATATCAATAACGAATAAGCACATTCATGAGTGGAAAATCTCTCAATATTCGTGTTTATCTACTTAAAATAAGAAGATTCAATGCACTGTCATTTTGAACCTATTCGCTACCTGTAAACAGAGACACATAGGGTTGATAAGTAAAGAATAATTTTGTTTAAGGCTACAGATAAATTAACAGTTAATTGTTCAATTACTAGAAGCCAATTTCATTTTAGTCTACTACTTTGATGCTGATAGAATTTTCTCGATCAAAATTCAATATGATCATGAGTGCAAGTATCATGACATAATGTGTGCTACATTGGTTGAAGAGGATTTATCATCACTAAAAGAAAAAAAGAATGAAATTAACCACTACACAGTGTTTCATTAATTGTAAATCATCTCAGTCCTACACAGGACATTCTTTTTCACAATCACAGTTCAACTGGAAAAAATTAATTCGTTTAAAGAATTCGACTAAATTTATACAAGTTTTAAATGTTCTGGCTTTTTATTGATTAATATCATGCTGATTCATTTAGAGTGGAAAGATTTATACCTCACGTCTGTAATATTTCTCTCTTTCTTTGGTAGTGATTAATGATGTTACGAATCAGAGAAATCTTAAAATGTTAGGATTAACCGCATTTCACACGTCATTACATTTTAATATATCCGATCTTCTAAAAATACTTTGGAGTCTTCATTTAAATTCTACAGAAGACAATATTTCACCTTCATACTACAGTAAAATGTTACTCGATGTTACAATGTTTCAAGATTTTATCACTTATCAAACCTCAGTCTTTTGGAACGAAACTTTGAGTAATAAAACTACGATTAATAAAGACGAAAATGATAAAAACATTACAATGTAAGAATAATTTTGGTTTTAATTATCTTTCTAATAATATGTACTAAGTTTAATGTTGCTATACGAGGTATTGTATATTTTATGAGTTAGGTTATCTACCTCTCATTTACGTAGCTAAAGAGAAGATATCTGATAAAAAACTGTTTTTACAGACGTATGAGTAGGTATGATTACATAATAATATCATGTATGTACGTCTGAAAACTAAAGATGACTAAATAGCTGTGCAATTCTAAAGTGGAACATTTTTGGCGGCAGGGAACTGGGACCTAACCAGGCACTGAAACCAAAGCCCTCAGGTCTTACGGCGGAACTTCTTCTAATGAGGGCGAACCTCGTTGATTCACACTTCCAACTTGAGTTAGTTCAATATAAAGAACAGATAACATCTGATATCATTTACACAAAATGTTTCACTTCCAACATGACAGAACATTAAGTCATAAATTTCTTAAAATAATCTTATCAACAAGTTCAACAAATCTGCATTGTATGTTATATTCAACGCGAATTGATCTCAACCGGAATATCATCGAAAACCGGGGGTCATTCCACAGCTATACCATTCAACTGTGGAAGAACTTAGTGCTGCACACTCAGAACGCCATCAGAGGCCTAAAAATGTACTTTCAGGTCTTGTATCGAATACCTAACCATTGATACAATTTCAACTTCAGCGCACTAACAGTGGATAAGCACTCGCTTCTGGACTTGAGAGTGATTCAACCTATCTTTGCAAGAGTAGAAGTTGACCAATGCCAAACAATACCCGTGTATGATAAGTTAGCTGTCCAGTACTCCCTGGTTTTCAACACTACTCGCACTAAGACGAATCTGTGATGATTTTAATTTCATGATAAAAATAAACTCCTAAGAAACCTTTCAATAGATGCATACATACTAATCCATAGTTAAATTTAAAAACAAACCTACGTGGTAGTGTTGAATAATTAAATTACATGAGAACACCAGTAGAATTTTTATGATTTGTGACGTCTGATTCTGATGAAATTTTTGATGTTACAGTTCTAATTTCAAAATTAGGGATTGAAAAAAAATTGGTTACTTTAATTTATCCAAGTTATATTTCTTTTTTCATTGTTGTAAAATATTTAATTATAATCAATGGTTTGCTAAATAAAGTATCGAAGAGAATTAAATTAATTTATCTGGTTAAAAAATTAAATCAAGCTTAACTAGTGTTTTTTTTTTCAATTTTTATAATAAACTGGAAAAATAATAAAAGCTTTCCAAGCTTTAAAACGATTTTTATATATTTGTCAATTGAAAAAGTAGATACATTTTAATTAAACATTCACAAAGACTCAATATATATTAGGTTGATAATCTAACGAACTCTCTAAAATCATCAATCATTGTTAGACCACCATTAGAAAACTGGGACTCCTCAGCAGTGCGCATCCACGACTCCTGAACTTCGAGCACAGGACCTTCGGTATTGTGTACGAATGCCTAACCTCTGGACCACTGGGCCGGCATCCAACGGTGTTAATGTCTAACTCTTGTTGATCTATGGATTTTGCGCGACCTCACCCACTTGTCTTTGATTGTTACTGACTACACCCGACAGCGTTGAACGCACTGACGATGAGTCCCATACCAAGACGGAAAGGTTGTTCAGTGCTTCCAGGTTTCTAATGTTGGTCTAACAATTATTGACTGATGATTTCAAATGTGTAAAAACACTAATCTCCATAACTGTAATTGAGAACTCTCTAAAGTTGCACCATAAAATATCCAACTGTAATACATATTCAACTGTCTAATTTAGATTTTCAATATTTTGTATGTTTTAGAATAATTTGATATTTAAAAATCTTTTGAAGATGTAGGAAACCTGGACAATGAAAGTAAAACATTTTCTGAAGTAAAATCAAAACGTGAGCGCGTAAAGATTAAAATTATTCCTGTATCACTCATAAAAAGATAAATAACTACTTTCTTTTTACCAATGGATAGGTCTTTTTCTTACTGTGACTATTGTGGCACTTGAAAGGCGTTATGTGTTCTTCGTACTAAAATTGTATATTTTTGTCAACCTACCGCTCAAAATATTATATGCTTGATGGAAAAATCCCTATGGCTGGATACTGTTTAAAAGATAAGGGAAAATCGTATCCTTATTAACTCTTGTAACTTCGTCGCTTTTCCAATATTCAGCTCTTATTAGTAAAGCCTTCAATGCCTGTCCAAAGAACGAGCTTAATTCATCCTTACAAGGCTTTCTATTTTATTCCCCAAAAGTCCCAAATTTCCTTGACTATTCTTGGACGCTGAAGTCAGTAAAGTTAGTAGATTGACCCCCATACCTTAAAATGCTGCTTGATTACATAACTTTAGGAGAATTCTGCACTCCAATAGTTAGATGATAGCGAATTTTAGTTAGTTTTCATATACTTTGAAAGCTAGAGGACATTAGTGGCACAACTAACTTTTCATCTCTCATGTTGTATATAAACTTTAAAAAATTATAGAAAATATGAAAGTTTCTAAACCACACTTTGTTGAAACAGTCATTAACTGAGGAAGACAAGTTTCTGAACACATCTATAAACCACCTTAGTATATTGAGATGAACTGGGATATTTTTAGCTCAGGACAAGAATGTTAGTAATAAGTTTTCTGAACTGGATGATTAGGTCGTTAAGCGGTTGACCATGCTGTACGACCATTGCGTTATTCTTTGTAATGACTGTCTTCGCCTAGAAATCGTAGCTGTTCATCATTTTCTCAGTGATTGATAAATTACGTCTGTAGGTTGCTGAGTGACCAAAACATCGAATCTATAAAACTTTGCTGCCATTTTCCCAGTCAATCATCCATAGATGTTCGCGTGCACTGATATAATTGAAGCAACGTCATAAATTTATTTCTTAGATGAGAGATTAACTGAAACTACTTATTTCATTTAGTGTGCCACACATATTCCATACGTATATGAAAGGAAAAGCAATCACTTTGTCTAACAGTATTTATCATATTAATTTAACAGAAATCTATCCACAGAACTCATCACGTTGTATCACTGAGCTAAAAGTAGCTGCACAGTCTAGTTTCAAGTATGATATAAACACCTAACGATGTTGGAAATATGTAATCTGTATTCCAGCATTTGTTTGAAAGTAACGTTTTCGAAAGCTTTGCAGTTCGGGATTTTATCTATGAGGTTATGCACCACATGATGCTAACACATAAGGATATAACGGCTGTTTAGTGTTTCCTGATCTTCAATAATTGACTGATTAAAATCATTTGCTCATATAAATTATCTTCAAACATAATAGTCTAAATAGAATCTTTTATATTAAAAAGTTGTATTGATGATGATTTCAGCAGCTAACTTCTATCAACAGTTAGTCCAGAAACATGGCTTCCTCTATTCGAAAGTTATTTTATTTAGTAAGGAAAATACACAGTGAAAATTACGTAGAATTGCCTAATTAAACTTAATAGCATGTTTTTTTCAAGTACTTTCATCTATTCAAATTAAGATAAAACCCGTTGGCATGAAATAACTTTATAACTCATTAGATTTTTTCTATTAATAACACCATTTCATCTATGTTCTATTTTAATGAACTACTTATAGAAAATGTCAATTGTTATAAATAATGTTTAGTTTAACGCGTTTCAATCCCTGATTTCTCATCTTCTAAATTAGTTAATCATAACATTATTGTCATTGTTTAAATAAACTAAGACACATGAGTAGTATTATTATTATTATTATCATAAACGCGAACAGTTTTAGCACTATTAGTGGTTGTTTTTCTGTAAATATAGTTAACTATTCACCAGTATAAACATATACATAATTACATACCTGTTTATTTTTTCAGTATCTAATGGAGTTTTTTTTATTAACTTAGTTATTTTGTTTTAGTAACGCAAATATAACAACTGACTGATCACTGTTAAGAATATTGCATTACTTGCTTTTATCCCAATAATGACTATTTATCCAGTATTATTATTTTTTTTATTTGGATGGAAAAACAACTATAATCTGACATTACTTATGGTTACATTGTTTTAAATTTTAACGTGTTACAATTTAGTTAACATTTTCTTCCATATTATTATTACATGTCAACATTTATCAATATGGCTAAAGAGTAAAAAAAAATATTAAATAATGATGTTGTGGAAAGTAATCAATTTGTTCTAAAGGAGTACTGCTAAGTAGAATTTAAGTTATTTTTCATTTGATTCTTATTGGTCAATTTCGGGAGAAAGTGATTACGTAATGTAAACATATAATGAGAAAGTTTTTTTCATTTTATAACCTGGATACTAGTGTCGACCAAACATTTACATATCGTTCCATTCATGATTATCTATGAATGTATACTTTAAGTTAAATCAATCAGGTCAATGATAACGACTTCCCGTGTTTGGAATGTAATTTAAAATAGATTGCTGTTTAATGACTGTATATAAGTATACAATATCTTTTTATTGAAGTCATGAATTGGTCAATATTAGACTACGATTAGAAGCCTGGAAGCACTTGACAGCTGTTTTGTCCTTGTATGAGACTCTTCAGCAGTGCACATCCACGACCTCCGCACGTGAGAAACACAACAATCTCCGCAACTCTATGTTGATAAATATCTTTTTGTGTATAATAATACTTTGACTCAATAACATAAAATATACTTACTGAATATGAAAAAAACACGACTAAGTATAATTTAATGTAATGCTCAACTAAAATTTAGTAAATAACACGTTTGTCTTCTAATTCCTTTCTTCGTTTCAGCCTACCATATTTTGAAATTTCATTACGAAAGCCTTCTATAAATTAAGTTAAATCTCAAAATTTCAATTATTATAATGTAACTGTTAAGGCAATCTTATAGTAACGATGACGAACATTATCAGACAGTTTACTCAACATAAAGCTTATTCAACATAAAGTAGTTTTAAGAAAACACACTAAACAACTAACTGTCTAACAAATAGTAAAAATGATCCCCAAGGATAAGGATATTTAAATCCACTCACTAAGCTTACCGATGATTGTAGAAAATATTAAAGATTACCACTGTGAAAATTAGAACAACACATGTAAGCGAACAATATTGTTTTCGATTAGATCGTCATCAGGCTTTACTCTAATATACATGAATATTTATATGAAAATGTTAAACCAATCAAGGCAATTAGAGTGATAATCACAATGAAATGAAAAAAGCAAAAGTACAAGTGGATAGTAGGAAGAGAGGTGAGCCGATAGTAGTAGGAAAATTTATAAAATATGATATTGAGATGGTGGAGAAAACTTGTAGCTCGGGTGGATGATTGTGGTAGCGTTTCGTTCTCTGAGCTGGTTGTTTTGGTTGTGGAGCTTTCGTTGTTCTTCTGAACAACGTCAGAAGAACGATGAAAGCTCCACAACCAAAACAACCAGCTCAGAGAACGAAACGCCACCACAATAAAATATGATAACTAAAGTAGGTCAAAGGTGGATGAATGGAATTCAAATAATCATCAAAACACATCAAAAACATTACGTAATAAGCAAATGTGTAAAAATAAAAATAAAATAAAAAATATAATGTCGATAGTTAGTTACGTCATATCCGGCCACGGAAGAGATAGGAATGTCACGAATTTCTTCTGAACACATAAATTAGGGTTGAATGTACGTATTCCTATGGCTTCTGCAATGTGTGGGAGAGGGGATCGAACTCCGTTGGGAAATGATGGAGGTTTACGATAGATCACCCGAAAAAAGATAAAACGTAAAGATCACATGACTGACACAAATAACTGACGCACCTTCTAAGCTTATTAAAACTCTTATAATCAGTTCCTAAAATTCAAAATAATGATATATGAACGAACACTGTTCTTTTAAATAAATTCTTTTCATGTTTTAGAGTTCTATAGCCAAAAATAAGAATCTAAAAGATTTTCCATCATACAGTTATGGAGCCGTGACCAGTGGAGTTCAACTTCATTGGGTCGAGGGCCAGTAACTACCAAAGACAATGGGTTAGGTTGCGAAATATCAGAGACTGATTAGCGTAAGACGGATACCGGCCTTATGTTCTAGGGATTAAGCGTCCGCGTGTGAGACCGAAGGTCCTGTGTTCCATTCCAGTGACAGGGGGTTGTGAAAGCGGCAGTCAAGTGCTACCAGGTTTCTCACAGTGGTCTAACACTTATCGGTTCATAATTTCAGTGATAAACAACAATTTCCATCACTCTGTAATCAATGTATATGGTTTATAACTATAGGTTTAGCAAGTTTGCGAATGTTAAAACCTTACTGTTTGTTCATTTTGACATGGAATAGATCATCCCGTTAGTGATATTATTAATTTTGGGATGACTATTAAACAAGGTCGACTTACTTAAATTAATTCATCAAATAACATTGTGACTTCAGTGACCAGTATAACCATGGGTCAATTAGGGTTAGAGAAATAATAATGCGATTAAAAAATCCTATCGAATGTTTAGTGAATAATGTTATTTAAATTCTATGAGGAATAAAAAAGTGCGGTGAGTGTTAATTGCACTACAGGGTTGTGAATATTGTCAAGTTAGATATTTGAAATCTTGAATCGATCAAAGTTATAGCCCCATCAGCAACCTGGAAGCACTAAAAGACGGCCGTTTCATCCTGGTATGGGCTTATCAGCATCCACGACTCTTGCGCCTCTCAGGATTCGAGCCCAGGACTTTCGATCTTACGCGTGAACGACTAACCTGTGGACCACTCAGTCGGTATCTAACGGTGCTGATGTCTAACTTCAATCAGTACAAGCTTTTGCGCAACCTCATACACTGTCTTCGGTAGTTAATATCTACGCCCGAACAGGTTGAACTCCACTGGTCACATTTCCTCACTAGAAATCGAAGAAGATTCCTCACTGTCATTAGTGGGCACAGGTAATTTGCATTAAGGGGTTGTAAAAATTGTTACGTTACACTTTGAAATCATTTTAAGCAATTATTAACTGTCTTCTTTGATCAACTTGAACAAGTGTTTGGCTGATATGAGATCAAAAATTGCAGGGCATTACATGGTTAAACTAAGAAACCTTTTACAACTAGTGAAAGTTCATATAGTCTAGTGAACGTTTTTTGTAATTTTATTCACCGAGATTTCATTACCTTCACTTAATTGTGTATTATATTAATGAATGGTGCAAGAAATTTATAATGACATTTTCTAAATGTTCTTGGAATATATGCTGTATGCTTCCACCTTAACAATACTTACTGACTGTCATAGTGTAATATAAGTATCACTACTCTACATTTTATAATAATATAAGGTCCGTAGTGTGATTAAAACAAGGACTGAATAAGACAACAAATTTTTTCACACTCCAATGATCATCATATTTTAAAATGAATTAATTTGACACGTAAACTGATCGTAATCTATTCTCAACATCGAGTAACTATCCCACTACAAAATTAATTTCTGCAGACCACATTAACCGATTATAATCTCCAGATGATCACATGATACACAGATCTGGATTGTTAAATTGTTCAAATTTTATCAGAACGGCAATCCAGTGCTTTTGGATTTTACATTGCTACTCTACCTATAGCCAGTTCATAATGTAATATATTTTAGGCAGCTAAATGGTTTTCTATCATCTGCATATAATTTATCAGCAGACTTGTTCAGAGGGTAAATAAAACTATTCAGAAAATAGAGGAAAGTTCAAGTTCAAGTACTCAAGAGCTGTTAACCAGAAAAATCTATTTAGCAGTTAAAGTGAACAGTGCTTAAAGTAACTTGAGAATTCTTGAGATAAATATTATATAATTGGAAGAATGATAAGTAAGTTGTAGATAAGCTGAATTTCATAACACTGCTGAAATCACTACTCTGTCATCTTTAGAACGTGGTGACTGAAACTAATAACGGTTTTGTGTAGTTTTTTTCTATTTTTCTCAATTACTGAACACTGACATGTTATTTCCCAACTCAGTTAGCATTAGCAAACAAATAACTTGATTTTACTTAGTTCAATATCCAATGTTTAACATTATATATTTTTACTACATTATATTATACAGTGAAACAAAAGCTCAAAGCTCAATATACAATCAGTAAGTTGAAATGTTATTTATTTTTGATATCATGTTTGTCACATTAATTCGTCATTTTAATTGCCAGTTTTGGTTAAGCCTGATGAAATGCCCGTTCAAAATGAACATTTCTGTCAGACAATCATGTTATACATCTCCCTACAAATAGATATATTACAGTTAAAATAACTGTGAAAACATAACGATAAAAATTTTTTTGGAAAATATTTTCCCACAACATTTTTTATTCATGTCATTTCATCTCATTTTCTTTTTGATGAAGGTATGTACACAACACATGTACTGTACTGTTTCTTTAACACTTATTTAAGAAAATGTTGCTGACTTTTTCAACATTTACTCAGATTCGTAGAAATCAGTGGGATTAAATGTGCATATATATATATATATATATATATATATATATACGAATGAATTGTATGACGACCAACATGTGTTGGAAAATTACATTGTTTCCAGTTAAAAATCGCATAAACATGCTTTGACTAATCAAATTAAACAGATAATATAATGAAAGACACAACAATGACGAAAAGGAATATGAAAATTGGAAAACAGTTATGCACTAACAGTAGACTACAAAATCTGTCTTGAAAAATTGCATGAAGAACTTACCACAAGCATTCACTAAACTAAGCAAACGAAAATAATCACCTTTTCGCCCTGAATGCATATTAACTTATTTAATAAAGGAAAGTTGAATGCTTTGAGTTAAACATTCCTTTTGATGCATCAAAAAACGGACTTCTTCGAGTTTGAATCCTGTAGAAAATATGAATTCGTAAAAATATATACTATATTTGAAGCTAGTAGTTATTTCATACATGATAAGTCACAAAAAGTTCGATTTTCTCAACTGTTGAAATGAAAAACATTTTGATACACTTGTCATAGTAGTTTGAATCTACCTATTGATAGTTAGGACTGCAAATAATCAGTATCATTGTGGCATATGACAATCCTGTGAGGATTACCTCGATATAGTTATTAAGCTACAAGCATTATAGGATATGGTTAGTGACTGGCAGTAGAACACAGGACAAGCATTTCTCTTTATTTGGGTCTCGATAGCTGGATGCACCTGCATTCTAGTTGGTGTTCACTTCGGCACCCAAACTTACTACCATTCGCTTCAAATACTATCGCATTATCTACTTAGATACTGTCTTTTTGCAGCAGGGAGAAGATCAAATGTTCCTTTTGATAGTTGGGATCGAAATATATTCAGCTGATGAATCCTGAATAGGACAAATTACGCATCCTGAGTTTTACTGGTTGCCACTATTCATCTCTGTTGATCAGGAACTAATGTAACGAAATATTCCATAAAGATTTATGCCTAAAATATCTCAAAAATATATCACTATAAATACAAGCTTTTAATAAGAAGATTTCTATGCAAAGTCGGGTATTCGTTTACGAATATGATCATTTCTTTGATCAATAGGAAAATATGTGCGTTCACAAAACAGCTCTACAGAAAAACAAAAATCCTGGATGGAAATCACAATAAATTGATTTCCAGGCCAACAGACATACTTGTGCCTGTTACCTCTTTGTCCTGGGCTCCTTCTCAAGTATCACTAGGAACTATTTATTTTTTTATGTCTGTATCAAAAACTCCCAGCGCAATGTGTCCTCTGATCTTCCTCTTTTTTCCTTCTAACCTGAACATTGTAAGGAAGAGCTTGCTTGTGACGCACTTGAGTGATTTCCACAACAAAAATCCTATCCACCTTCAATGTTTTTTTTCTCTTCATTCTGAAAGCTGATTTGCTCTGTGACACAGCAGATTGTTGCTGATTGTGTCCGACCGACATTTCTTCAGAATCTCGCGTAGACAAGTGTTTGAAAATGCCGGACGTCCCATACTAGAACGAAACGGCGGTCTAGGGCATACAGACTCCTGATAGTGTTCTGTCATTCGGCGATTCGTGATTTTAATGTCACTCAGAAATCTCCATAACCTAATAAAGTTTAAATTACCTGTATCCTTAATTGGATGGTTTTTGTAGTTCTTCGAGACATTCAGCTCCATACAACAGAATTGTCTTGACGTTTGTAATGTTAATTCTTGCCTCATCATTGATTAACAGTTTTTAAGAGTTTCAGGTGTTTTTCGGATGCAGAAATTCTGTCCTTCCTTAGATAATCACTGGTTCACATCTGCAGGTACACCGTAGTGTTGAAGGAGGCTCCATCCAGTCCATGCTATCAAATACTTTCTCATAGACGAGGAGTTTGGTGTATAGTGATGGGTTTCATTTAACTGATTGTGCCACAATGATCCATGGTGTCGTGATTTGGCCCATGCACGATTGGTCCTTACGGAATTCAGCATGCTAGTCTGAAAGTTAGGCGTCTACTGAAGTCTGCATTGTGTTCAGTTCTGTTCAATGTTGTGTTAGATTCAGTTTCATCGTAGCCATCACCAAGTAGTGATCTTAAAGCATATCAACTTCCTTCATTAAACCACCATTTTGTATGAAACTTTTGGAACTTTATAAGCTTCCTTGGATAACATCAAAGCTACTCATTTTTATATGCACTTTTTATTCATGAATAGATTACAACAACATCTTTTCGGGAGCTAGTCTCCTCTGTTCAGTTACTGTTCATTGGTTTTAACTTATTACAAGTACCTACAGCTTGTAGCTTTTTATTTCCGCACTCCTCTAGGTCTCCACTGATTCAAACACAAATTTTCCCATTTAGAACTAACTTGTACTTTGATTGTCAGTGTAGGTGGTCATTTAACAATGTAAATAGATTATGTACATAATCTATTTATAAGGAGATTTAAATAAACATATCTTGGGCCCAGAAGTATAAAATTAGTACTAAGAGTTCCTGTTCTATATAGCAATGAACTGTTTAGGCTAATTAGTTAATTAATAGTGATTAATGGATGTTGGATGTTTTAGCAAAAGGCCGATAACCATAGTGGAACTTATTGATTTGATTCACAGAATTTACGAACTGATCACAGTTAGACTGCCAATAGAAAACTGAACAAATGTTTTGCTCTAGAACGAGACTCTGTAGTAGTGCGTGTCCACGACCCTCAAACAGACATCAAACACAGGACCTTCAGTCTTGTGCATAAACGCTTGGTCTGTAGACTAATGAGCTGGGATCCATTAGTGTTCAAATCTTACTTATATGAATCAGCCATCTTTCATTGCGTTTATCTTGTTCCTTCCTGCCACCTTGATTTCATTGAAACTCAAAATCTTCCAGAATAGCTTCTAACAATGTTCACCTTTTTGCTGTACTATATTTATTATTCAGCAGTTTATATAAATTGACTATGAGTTTTAAATTACAACTAGCTTTAGTTAAAACTGACATCTTCAATTTTATGGAAAAACAACTCTATACGTTTACCAATTCATTCAAAGTAATTATTTCTTTTTCTGATGTTAGAAGCTGAAAAGTGATTTTGATATCTTTGCACCTTTCTACAAAACTTCTATGATAACTTTGTACTTATCTTCATAAAACTATTACCTCATAGTAGAATTGTTTTTTAAACTTAAATGAAGGTCACAGAACTCAATTAAATGGAACACATTATACCATTTGAATTATTTTCAGTTGTGATATATTTTGTAAAATGTGTTCTGATTACTTTACTTACAACTCTCAACAAATATAAAAAGCTCCTCAGTACAACCAAGGTTTTATTCATTCATACATTTCATTTCCAAAGTAGTAAAAGAAGAATATCAACCAAAAACTAAATACTCGTATTAAAATTTCACATTTCGATCAATAAATACAAAAGGTATAGTCAGTTGGTTATCTGTATGCGGTTTCAGTTGTAACAGTTTTATTTCCCATACCAACACTTTAAAACTACATCAAAAATCCAAGTAATGAGTAAAACTCAATCATTTCACATTCTGTCGGTTTGGAAAATTTAACATATATTCAGAGCATCCAACAAGGTGAGTTGTAGATGTGTACTATTAGGCCATCGTTAGCGATTCTAGCCGTTAAACTTTACATCATTTATTTTGCATGATCCAACTTAAGAATAAGTACGAAGTCTAAGGTAACTAATTTTAGTCATGAAAAACCCAACCATCTTTGTAACACACCACAGAAGTGAGCTCAAACCAATAGTAGAGAAACAATTATACTTCAGGAAGAATCTAGACATAATTTTTGAAAATCAAACAGAATTTTCACCGGTAACCTAACCATTTATCTACTGATATTTAAACTACTGATATAGTCACACCTATTTCCAACATCTGAACTCCTTTTCAAAGTATACGTCAGACAGTCACAAATTTAGACTATAAAACCGTTAAAACGTACTGTTTCCATTTCTTTAAATATTTTATCGATATTTCTCAATAAAATCTTAGCATAGTTCAAAAACATTTGTTAATTTTGGATACATAAAATCCGCAGTATTATATTATGTTAAGAGAATGAAATAAATTGCTATGGATCCCTTCAGTGTTACACAATCCAATCAAATCTTGTTGAGCATCGAATATTGGCAGTAATCTGTGATATTTATTTACAAACTAAGCAATAAATAACTGAAAAGAATCACGAAATATCTCACCGCTCAAAACTGGAAATATCATTTACTCAAAACATCAGCACCATGCTCATATCTGTTCAGTAAGATTTTGATCTGATTTATTTAGGCGAATATAGTATAGCACTAGACAAAATAATCATTTTTCAGATCGATAATTGTTTTTGATAGCAATGGTACACTTTCATAATTTGCTTACTAACACAAGTCGATCAGATTTAGTAAACTAAATCTAGCTCAACTGTATGAATGTTCAAGGGATAAAAAATTTCATCTCCAATCTAAATCTGTCGCTAAAATTAAATGAAATAAAGAAAACAATAAGATGTTGAAAAATGATCATTAATTTTGTTTTACAAAATCACCAGTCTATGAATGCCAGTTATCTTCTCCAAATGGCTTGATATAGAATGAGTAATTAAATTTCAATGTATAAACTCAAATTTGAAGTCTACTGTTTTTCATTTTTTTCTCACTTCTCCTACTTTTTTTCTAGCCTCAATTTTGGATGTACCATCAATATATTTAAAACGAAAGAATTCCTGATACCTTTGAACGGACAACCGTCTGAATTTTATATTTATACACGATTTCTGTATCCAAATGAAATTAGTCTTCATGAATTCTCACTAACGACCCGTTATGAGGTTGATCTGAACCAGTTAAGGCGTATAACAACGTCAGCCACTTGTTTCGTTGACAAGGAAGTAAGATTTTAACTGCACCAGTTTCCGAATCGATGATATTATTCTTGTAAAATAAATTAATCACACTGTCGAAATATTGTTGAAAAACTTCCAAACTTATTTATGACTACACTGTAACTTATTATAAAATCAACATGATCTTCAGATTTTTCCCATAAAGTTATATAAAAGTCAGTAGACAGCTGATGTATTTCCAGATTTGGTTAAGAATACTGGGTCTAGAGATTGCTGTAAGCCTTCTGAATCATGTAAAATAATCGCTGAACAAAACTCTACCCTCACTAGTTCTAGTAGAAGAAGATAGTTTGGCTTATAAAACTCAACTGGTACCAAAACTCTTTTAAGATCTATGAGAAGATGTAAACTATTCATTATCTCAGAAACATACTTATATAAGATCTCAAATTACGCCTTTCAAGCATGAAACTTCAATCGATTTAACAAAAAAGTGAATTAAAATACTGACATAAATTCACTGTAATGCCGTAATAATCTATTCTAGTTATTTAGAGCGGTAACACTTCTAAATCGACTTGCATGTTATTCACTTCCTTCAACTTATTTGTTTATTAGAACTATAACTAACTAAACTGTCAGATTTTTATTTGGTACACACTACCTCTAACATTCAACAAATTAGATTAATTTGGAATATACGTTTTTTATCACTAATATCACCGACCAGTGTACCGATTTTCAATTTAAAGAACTTAGACAAAAACAGATTTCTATTGAAGCTATAAAAAAGAAGCATGCGAATTTGTCCACAACCAGCCACAAGTATCTACCGCAATGTCCAAATTGTACGGTTCGCCCTAAATTTATCGAAAAGATATTAGGAGTTGAACGGATAATCTCCTTATGGGATATATTATTATTTGTCTAGCGACTTAGTATATGTATGTATATTCCAGTCAAAAGGAAGTCATTATTGTATTGAATAAACCAAGCAACCAATAAAATAAATAAAAGTTGTAAATGAAAATAATCTGATCATCACTGAAGCCGAACTCTGCATTTGGTATTATTGACAAGCATTTCTAAGTACTAAACAAATATAATTATGGCTTTCAACACAAACCCTAAAAGTGTAATAGTGTGAATATCATACTATTTTATAACCACTCTTTTAGATGGATTCATTCTAAGAAGTAGTGATGTCTCATAGTTGAAAAATCAACAATTTCAGCTATATTTTTTTTATCATCTCAATTGATCCTTCATAACTTCATCTAACTTTCATTTAAATTTCTGTTTTCGAAACTAGAAAATTGGTTTTATTCTAAACAGTGAACTAGAATGGAAGTTGACTGATACAGGAACTATTAACAGATTACACAGTACTAATTATATCCATTCGAAACCTGTGAATGAAACTATCAAATTGATTTTACTACATGATGTCGATAATCAGTTATTGTCATTGATGCTTATGGAGTATAACGATCAATATTGTCAGAGAATTTATTCAGTCAAAAACTGGTTACAACCATGGCGTAATCTACATGAAATTGCTTTTCAATGGCCAAGTCTACAATCCATCCAAATTGTAACTGTTTATGACATAATACCGCTGGATTCATATAGTGGAGTGACATTGGATCATTTAGTTTATTACAATCAAAATAAATACATCACAATGAAAAATCAAATTATGTTCAAATTAGACGAACAAAAATTGCTTGTCCTACATCTAACTAAAAGATTAATTACCACAATTACTGATCAATCGACTTTAATTAGCAATAATATCTCCAGAAGTGAAAGTGTCATTTCACAATTTGAATTAATTTTCCAATTATATCATGACATAAACCTACTACCATTACGTATAAAAGTTATTGCTGAAAATAAAATTAATTTGCTTCTACCAAGTTTTGAAATAAGTAAAAATGTTGTGGGTAAATTAAAAGCCGATTTGACAAAATTGAAAGGTGATACTGTATTTGAATTGTTAACTTCTGAGTGGAATAATCAGTCCAATTTCGGTATTCAATGGAATTTTAACTATGAATTCAATATAAAATCAGTTGTAAATGCAATTATTGCGATAAGTACACAGCCTAGTATACAAAATAATATAATATTCAATTGGAAAGCTTCAGATAATTCACAGTTTCTTATTTTAAACTGTATGATACCATCTGTTGGTAATTTTATATATCATTTTAAGCATCGATGGGAAAGTGTATATCATTTCGAAGGTTCTAACATGATATCTGTTCAACCACTTTTCCCAAATCGTTTCTTTACTGGATTTTATTTAAATAATAACTATGCTTTACAGTTTGATTCAAGTCGAAAATTATTTGAAATACGCGCTGAATATACGACAACTAATTCCCTGGGTCCCGGTTCACCATTACGTATAAGAATAATTTTCAAACATACTGAAAACTATGAACACGGTAATCTGGAAATTGGATTAGATTCTCAATTAATTGGTTATTATTTAAGATATGAAATGATGAATGCAATGGTTGAATACGAATTGAATTCGCTTAGTGTTGACAAACAAATTGAGTTAATTTGTCGTTCTATAATTGGATATCGTTTATATGAAGGTCGTGGAACAAGAGGTTATCAAAGTGAACTGTTCATCATTCAAAATAAAAATGATTATTCACTTGATATATTATTTAAAATTGGACGACCCGGACTTATGCATCAGAATACCATAGAATATAGTCATTTACTACAATGTATGCAAACAAAATTTCGAATTTCCACTGTTTATTTAGGCAATCCTTACTTTTCTGCCAAAATGGATCTGCAATATGAGAAGGATTTGTTATTGCCTATACATTCAAATATCAGTCTGGTTATGCCATGGCAACCTTTCTATCTAACTATTCAAGAATCAATACAAATGAATAAATCTTCCTCCATCATTAATCAAAGTCTGTTAATTTCAGTAAATAAATCAACAACATTTTATTATTTCAATCAAACATCGATATTCGAAAATAAATTAGCTAGATCTGTTTTAAATATACGTAAGCGCATAGAGTTAGAGTGGAATACAAATGTATTAAACAGTCATTTCGGTAGATTGTCTTACAAACGCTTACAAAATATAACCAGTGGTCAAATCAATGAACAATTAATAGGAAATTGGAATTCATCAATATTTTTATTACTAATTCAGCAACATTTAAATAACCATTTCAACATTCAATACAATCTAACTGATAAACTATGGAGTAACATAATCGATGGACAGTTTTCAATGATAAATGAAACAAAACAGGAATATATTATGCATAAATATAATTATAATGGGAATTTTAAAACCGCATTACATCAAATTGACTTCAAACTGAAAAATATGACTATGATTTTTGAGAAAAAAGGAAATAATTATACTATAAATGATTATGTTGAATTATCTTATTGTAAAGAACAGAAAACTGATTATGTTTATTCAATTGAACATATGTTCAATCAGCAGCCCAATTCTGATTTTTATCAATTCTACAGTAGGATTAATAAGAAAAATAGAAATATTTTCAGTGTTGATTTACAGTTCGAAAATTTCGATAATGTTTATTTCAGCGTAAAGATTGTTCCGATTGATTTTATTAAGGTTGAACTTATTGACATTCAGATGAAAAATAGTGTATCTCCTGGAAATTTTTATTGGGTTTTGAATGGATCGTTAGAGATTCAACCATGTTTACCTAAAATTCTAGTAGTGATCAAAATATTACCAGCTATATCAGATTTAAAGGATAATGGGTTTATAGTTCGTTACAAACCTTTTCAATGTTTGATTGTATTGAAAAATACTGACAAAGAAAGTAAGTGGAAAATTTTCGATATGGCTTATATTCAATCTTATAATGAATCTGGTGTACAGGTTTCAAATTTATCTGTTGAACTCTCAACACCATTCATAACACTACCCTACACTACAGTTGCACAAAGCAACTCAATACAGTATATGACTAGTCATCAGAGTTTCCACAGTCAGATTAAATTGAATACTACGGAAAATTCTCTTAAGTCAATTCATATTAAAATGACATTATTGCAAATGAAAAATAATTTATCAATTTTAATAAATATTCATGAAAAATATAAAATATTATTAGAAATTAAAAGAACACTAACAAAGTTATTGAAATCTCCTTTTATTCATTCAATGAATTTGTCAATTTTCGATCAACAAAAAGAATTAGGCAAGTTTTTACAAATAATTGAGATAGTCGAAATGAAACAACAACTCTGTTATAAATTAAAAAATTATTTACATATAATTGATTACAACATTTACAATGTATCGGTTAATTTGATTCATTCGAACAAGCAAACTAATAATTCGTTTGCTTTGTTCACTTTTAATTACAATTCAACTGTCCCATTATTAATTGAACAAGGATTGAATGAAATTAATTTTCATTGGGAAAATAGACGAGATAAATTAAATCTATCAACAATGTGCTATTGTTCATTGCAAAGAGTTAAAATAATTCATTATAAATTACAAATTGCAACAACAACAACAATTAGAAGTAAACTATTTTTAAAATTAGAAATGCATTTAAACAATTTTATAGGATTTAAACAAAATCATGATTGGTTGATTAAAGTACATATTATTGAACGAACTAATTATTCACTGGTATTTAGTTGTAATAATAAGAAAATTTCTTTTACAACAACTTACGATGTTCTACAATCTGTGCTTATTGTGAACATTAAAAACTCTTTGTATTTCAGGACAAATCTTTTGAAATTTATTTCAACATTATTACATTTTACTGAGAATTTGATTTATCAACAACAAAATACACATCAGATGACTGCACAACCTTTGCTCATAAATGATGAGAATAGTTCAATAGAGTTTATTTTAGTAACTTCCAACTTTATCAATCTCACTTTTGAATTCCAAACGCATAATGATGCTAGGTCGACACAGATTCAACAAATTCCGTCTACGAACTTGGATTCATCTTCCAACTTGCTCTATATTCCATTTACACACTGTTTAGTTTCGACAAAACAAAATATCTCAATTCGGCAGTTAGTTGCCGACTTGAATGATTGTGGATCTCACAGGAATTCATTATATAACTATGATGAACAGTCTAATCTCACTTCACAGACTAGCACTACGAATCATCAAAACAAAATCATAATTATCAAAAGTTCAATACAAATATACAACACTATTGCATTTAATTCTAATGTACTCATAGAATTGAATTCTGTAAATGGAAAAATCTCTCCGTGCACAATCAATGTTACTGTTAATAAAATAACTGCAGCATTGAAAAATATACATATCCAAGTTTTTACAAAATATCATTCACTAAATCAAGGTAGTTTCCTTTCTACATTCAATGTGAATGATGGACACAGATTGATGAATCTTACTATATCAAATAATTCTCTCAAAAATCAAGTTATCATTTTACTTAACACGAAAATGTCAAATAACAATAGCGGAATATCTATTGAATATATGTCGGAAAATCAGAAAAAATCAGTAGTTGTAAAAACATCGTGCTTAAGGGAATTGACTTATTCCTATGAATCAAGTCATTCGATAATCGATGAAAAGAATATTTACAAAAATAAAACATTCTTGTTTAAATCAGTTAATTCAACAAATTCAAAATGGAAGAAAGCTACCAACATTGAATTCACAGTTTATCAGAACTATGTCTTGGATATTGTCGATAAAGGTGATATATTTATTGAAAGATTATTATACACTGGTTTTTATTTAAAGACAAATATTTTGAAACAGGTAGATTATTTTCAGTTTTGAAAGTCATTAAACATGTGTAAATTTTAATATTAGAAAATTCGTCAGTCTGAATCCGCAACCAGACAGTTATGCGTTTCAATAAGCTATTTAGATTTCTTAAGTATGTCTAACGACTGGCTCCAGCTCTCATCAGGATGAGACTGATGTGTGCACACTTAATTCATTCACTTAATTCATAATCCCTGGAACGAAGTATGACTAACACACTGGCAAAATGAAATTGAATCTTCACGATTTCATTTTGTAAAGGGACACAATCATAGTACCATGAACAAAATACATTATGTTAGCATACATAAGCAATGAATAAACTTGATCATTATTAAAATGAATAAATCAATAAAAATGAATTGGGTTTCATACTTACTTAGCTAAGGGTAAAACACAATGGCAGTAGGAAAGATGCATGTGATTTTTCAATTAGATGAATGAAAGTCATTTCAAATAAGAATGGGAATCCATTGAAATTAGCCATATAATATTAATAATAAAAATTAAATGAATGAATGAAACCAGGAAAGAGTTATTTGAATAAGTTCATAGAAATCATTACCAAGATACCTATACTAAGTGATTAAAGAGATTAACATGGAAGGTTAAGCATAAGAAGTATATGATGAAAGGTATGAATTAACCATACTCCGCCAGTAGTCCCGTCGGGGCTACTGCCGGTCCGAAGCCCGGATAAAGGAGGAGTGGTTGGACATGAGGTTGGCGCCCCCATCCAGTTTCTCAGAACCAAATCGACCATATCTGTATCAACAAAAAGTTCGGAAGGACTATGGAGGATGTGATAACCAAGAGAGGAGCTAACATAGCCTCAGATCACAACTTGCTGGTCTCTAAAATGAAATTGAAACTAAAAAAGCACTGGACAACGGGGCAGACAACATCACAGAAGTTTAATACTCCCTTTCTGCGGGATACCGTAGAACTCAACGAATTCCTGATAGCCCTCAACAATAGGTTTCAAGCCTTGCACGATATACTCAATGGAGAGGAAGCAACATTGGAGAACGATTGGAAAAAGATCAAGGAGGCAATTACTTCAACATGTCACGAAGTTCTGTGTCACAGGAAATACCATCATAAGGAATGGGTCTCTAGAGGGAAGCACTGTATCAAATGGAAAGCCAAGATGCAGATGGATGATCTGGCTCTTCTATCGCACACTCAACAACAAATGCAAGAGAACACGACCAGTGTAGCAGCAGCCTCTGCAGCAGCAGGTCTCAACATACATAAAGGAAAAAGCGAAATTCTCCGATACAACACAACATGCACCAACCAAATCACTCTTGATGGAGATGCCTTGGAGGACGTTAATACCTTTACATATCTTGGCAGCATCATCGACGAGAAAGGTGGATCCGATGCAGATGTGAGGGCGCGGATCGGCAAAGCAAGGGCTGAATTTCTACAATTGAAAAATATCTGGAACTCTAAACAAATATCAATCAACACCAAAATCAGGATTTTCAATACAAATGTCAAGACAGTTCTACTGTATGGAGCGGAAACTTGGAGAACTCCGAAAGCCATCATCCAGAAGATACAAGTGTTTATTAACAGTTGTCTACGCAAAATACTTCGGATTCGTTGGCTAGAAACGATCAGCAACAACGTACTGTGGGAGAGAACAAACCAGATTCCAGCGGAGTTGAAAATCAGGAAGAAGCGGTGGAAGTGGATAGGACGCACATTACGAAAAGTACCTAATTGCGTCACAAGACAAACCCTCACCTGGAACCCTCAAGGCAAAAGGAAAATAGGAAGGCCAAGGAACAAATTATGCCGAGAAATAGAGAAAGATATGAGAGGAATGAACAAAAATTGGACAGAATTGGAAAGGGAACCCCAGGAAAGAGTTGGTTGGAGAAAAATGGTGGGTGACCTATGCTCCATTGGGGGTAACAGGAGAAATTAAGTAAGTCAGTATGAAGTAACCATGAACTCATGATGTACAAAATGCTAAAGTGACAAAGCAACTGAGCTAATTTCGAATTACTGCTGAAATCACTGATTATGTCCAACACACTTAATCCCAAGCAGAAAGTTTAAACCTATCAATGCAACTTAGTTTATGTTAAATATAAGTCAACAATATTTTCAAATGAATGGTAATAAGACTTCGACATTTAATTTATATTTTGTAACATTTCATGATTAATTTCATTCCTTTTTCAAATTATAGGATTCAATAAATATCCTGAGCAAAATATCAACATATCCAGAAAACACTCAGCTGGTAATAACCTTGAATCATGGATTTAAGTCAGTTGCTGACCACCAAATTGTTGTTACATGGCCTCATGTTTTTGAGGAGAAACAGTATCCACTGTTATTTCTAAAAACAGTGAACAATACTTTGAACTTAACTGGTGGCTGTTTCCAGCAACCAGGATTATTCAACGCGTGTGAGTATAATTTTCAACTAACCGGTTTGGATATTGTATGTCAACCTAATTCTCAATTGTAAAGTTTTATCTCATTAGCTTCACAACATTTTCGTTTCCATTACGCACGATAACTACATTATGTTCGTCTCACTGATAGATCTGTATAAGTTATTGTTGGTTCACAAACACAATTGTTTAATCAAGCTACTAAAGAGGAGAATTTAACTCTTTCATATCCTAAGCAAACTACTAGGATAATCATATTTAAAATATGATGATAATTTACGGATCATAATTTAGAAGAATCTCACTAGTTCACAAACTTATACTATTCCTTCGCTTATACCTGAAAAAACCTACAAAATCTGCAAATATGTTCAGCTAGATTTATTTTAACACTATAGGCCCTGATAAGTATAATTTTGAAGTTCATACAAATGAAATAGGCTAGAAAAATGATGATTAAACTATACAGATTCAGTCTTGTCAGAACAATCTCGCAGAATGATTCAAAAACAGGCCATTGAGCACACATCATCAAAGCATTAGATGAAAGTTTGATAATCAAAGCCTTTCATCTCCGATGAAAGACTGTTCTTCAGTGAAACCTGGCGAAAACTATTTAAAGATTACTTATGATAAAATAATTATCTTTTCGCCCTTCAAAAATTATAAAAATCATACTAACCGCAGGTCCTCACTTAATAGAATAGTGAAGGATCCCGAAATAACGTCAAACACCTTTCTCTCTAACGACGTTTGTTTCCATTTCTGGGATACATTTTAAATATCAGCTACTATAAAAAAAATAGTTAAGCAGTTAATTTCCTCAAAAACCTCTGCTCTGTTTCTGAAAAGTATTTTAAATTTTCATGAGCAGTATATATATACATATATATTAAAAATATATGTTCATGCTAATTATCAAAGTTACTGTTTTTACTAACCGACATATCTTTCTATCCACTGTTCTTTAGCCATGCTGATTATAACTAACGGACACCACACACATTGTAAATTCCATTGGAAAAAATGGAGTTCTATTTACCTGTTCGTGAGTTTCTACTTTGATTAATAGTAAACAGTAAAATGATGGCTAGTTTTAACTGTGTGATAGACTGACTGCCTTGGCAATGAAGGTATAATATGTTATCCATCTATGGCAATCATTAATGACAATGTTCTAGATTAAACTAATAACTATTCGTAATAAAGCCGGTTTATACCATTTTTTCAGTGTATTATTGATAATGTAAATCTTTATAAACCGGAAACTTTTTGTACAGGACTTAAACTTACTTTAAAATTACTGAATTCAAATAAACTATGAAACCAGTTACTGATTCGCTTTCTAAAATACCGCAATTCATATCGGACTTGTCCGCAATTAACTGAGAGCATGGAACGAGGGATTAGTAAATCTCCAATGTATATCATTTTACCTAAACTGTTCATGATCTCCAGTTTCGGGAGTGAAGAAATATTGATTTTTCCAGTAAAAATACTGTTGTTGATCTAGGTTAGTAATTGATCAACCGACTCAAAAAACATTATTACATTTCTGACTCTAAGAGATGAAAATAGATTCCTAGTTTGTTCTTTTATTCTTTAGACATGATACCCCAATTCGAGCACATGCTGTCCAAAATAGAATGGTAGAATATCGAACAGGTTTACACAAACTTTTGACTGTCTCTAGGTCATGTGATATGTTGAAGACAAGTGTTCGCCGGTTGTTTTAGCCGGATGTAAAAAAATCTATTTACTATTTAGTAGAAAGTTTTCCAAGGAAGTCTTCTATTTCATGGTTGTTCGGCAAAACAACGACGTACACACTATTGGCTTTATGAGACTGTAGAATCCAATAACTTATAGGCCTGATGACTTTACAATAATCTATTAAAAATGCAACAAAGTTTACAAATAATAATTATTTCCGACATACTAACCATTGTTTATAACATCGAAATAGAAGTGTTTCTAGATGCTATAATAATGAAAAATATCACCAGTTAACACGTAAAGTGACTATAATATCAGAGGCGTTATAAACGAAAGAGGACCTGTCATTATATCAAGTAAATAGTGGGAAAAATCAATTACAAAGATGCAGTTTCCTCATACATTTTGTATTTCAGCAGTGTCTTCAAGAGTTAAATTCATTTTAAAAATTAATCACATGGTATTTAACCATTAAATTTGTATCGTTTTTCAATTAGAGTTATGGAGATAGTTTACTACTGAAATCATGAATCAGTCATTGTTAGAGCACCACTTTAATCCAAAAAGCACTGGACGACCACGACTACTGCTACCAACAGGATTAGAACCAAGGACCTTCAATCTTGCACTCAAACGACTGATATCTGTACAACTGGGCCAGCCTCCAGCGGTGGTAATGTCTAACTCTGATCTATGGATTTTGTGCGACCTCATCCATTTTTCTTCAATAGTTTTGCCTACACCAGACAGGAATGAACTTCACTGATCACGTCTTCCCACCCTAGAACTCCTCATGAAGCTGACCAATAGTAAGCACATTTATGCTCTCAGTAATAAACGACAATCTCCATAACTCTAATTAAAAAATCACACAACGTGAAGAAAGATTTCACAAAGTTAAGTCAAAACAAAAAGTTTAGTTGTCAAAACATTATCATAATTTTTTTCTATTAATATAGAACTTTTATGTCAAGCTGTTATGATCATGTCAGTTTGATTGTGTTTACAGAGAGAATTATCAACTGTCAGTAGTGGGAAAGTTCTATAGGTAGGCAAGTACAGATTTTACTTGTTTGATTTGAATTCCTAGATTCACTTATAAAGGAAGCTTAACTGAATTGAAGTCATTCAATTCTACATGTGTAATGTTAACAATCATAAAACAATTAGTTGATACCTGCACACATTACAAATTGACATTAGTTAGATAATACTGAATAACTTTTAAAGAATTTTAGACAGTGCATATATAACAGTCATGCTTAATATCATCCTCAAAACTTTTGTGAATCTTGTACATTACATATGTAATCATTCTAGTTCCGATCCGTACGATAAAAGTGACTGGGACTATACTTTTGCTATTATAATTCTCTGACTGGATATTTCGGAAATTGGAAACTTGTTTGATGAACCGATGGTATGAATAATTGAGCAACTTAAATATTTTTAAACTGAACTGTCAGTCAGTCATAAACTAACCGCTTTAGCTATCCATAAAAGTTTTACTTCAACCTCTACAGTTTCATCTCAATAACTAAAACCTTCCAAATATGAAAACACAGTGATAATGAATAACAAAATCTCGAAAACTGTCCCCGCAGTAAATACAATCAAAACTGCAACTAATGACGCATTCCTTTCAGTTTTAAGCGTTATACTATCATTCCATTTTTAGTTATAGACAAATTGATATTGAAGTGAAGCAGTTAAAATCTTAGTCATTTACACTCAAAACTTTAATTAATCAGTTCAATAAAGGCGATTATTTTGTGCAAAACCAATGACGTTCTTCTTATCGATTTCCATGATATAATTCAATTTCAGTCTGTAATACAACTAAAGAAGTCTTAAAGTCCTCGTCTATTTGTTCTAGGCTATATTTGAAACAATCCGTATAGAACTCTTATTTGAACAAGGATTAAAGTGCTTACTGAAACGTCGCCAATGCAGAAATTTTAATCACATATAGATAAAGTATATCTCCTAAATGCTTTAGCTTCAACTAGTCTTAATCTGAGTAGAAAAAAATTAGTTACTGCAATTGCTACTTAAGAAAAGATATTTTTTAAAATAAAGCATATCAAGTTAACTCACAGTTCCATAAATATATTTCACAATAAACTAATCCTTCGAAGAATAGTTTAAAGGAAAATGAATAAAGCCAACGATCATAATATAAGTGCTGTCGTTTCCAGTCACTCATTAAGACGAAAAATAGTTGTTCACGGGTTTTTAAGCATTTCGACAAAATGATTTTATCCCATTATTAAAGTTACATTTACATTACTTGGAACAATCTATGTATTTCGTTGGTACTTAAGTATTCATTACTCACTTCTCAATACATACCTCAACTGTTTCAAATGAAGTAAAGGACTTATTAAGTTAAACAAGTCCGAAGTGTTGGCACTATGAATTGGCGAAATGAGATAAAGAAAAAAGCACAATATAGTGTGTTGTAAATGATCAATACTGGATTTTGCTCACAGTATGAATACTATCTTATCTCATAAAGAAGCTGAAAGCGCTCATATTCAGGGCCTCGCTTGATGTTCAAACTAATACGTTTTTTATGAGTCACTTACTGATCTTAGCTAAATAATCGTTGAAAATCATGAAGTACTAACAGCTGTTTAGTCCTTTTATAAAACTTAGAGTTGCACGTCCACAACAATATTATGGATCAAACCCAGGATCTCCTGCTCTTGCGACGAGTATTGTACCATCATCCACTGGTGTTTGCGTTTGACTTTAGTCATTCGTGTATACTGTAAAACCACCTTTTCATGACATTATTAGGTAAATGCCTCATATTCGATCGACATCACTGAACTTCACTGGCACCGGCTATTTTTTTCCAGTCATTTTGTGGTTAAATCTAATCATAAATATGAAAAATTATCTTTTATTTACTTCAACAAGATAAATTATAGGTTGGTATAATATTTAGGCTGAAGAAATTAGTTGACTTTATTCAGTTATTATTTGTTTTTGTGATAATTGAGAAAACAGCTATATATATTTCCCTTCAATTAACCTACACTGTTCGAAATGACATATTGATTAATTGATCTGTATGAGTTCAATGAAAACTGATGAATATTATTTATGCAAATTGCTAGATAGATAAATACATTATTCATTTATTTTAATAAGATATCACTTACAATGAATGCCCTAAAGTTATGTCCCACCCGGACTTAACCGGAAGTGAGGATAAGTTTTGGAGTTTCATTAAATTATATCTCATTATAAACTTCTAAATAAAAATTCACGAAACTCAAATATTTATCTATTTACCGTTTTTAGATATAAATATTACACGCAAGTAATTTCAGTTAGTACAGTTATAAAATGGCTAAACTTATAACGAATTCCTCATTGAAAGTATTAATATATGAACTGATCTCTTTCGCATCTTCTGTTAATACATAAATTTATATAATCATTACAAACACTACTTGTAGTGGTTTGGTATGTGTTGTCGTAGAAAAACGTTTCCCAAGCTGAATCACCTTTATTCTTTACTCAATGACGTAGCGGATTTCGCTCGTTAATTAACTACTTCTCTGTCGATCGATATATTATCATGAAAAATAGGATATTCACTTTAGTTATCTATACATTAATTCGGATCTGCATAAGATTACATCAGTCTTTCAGTTTGTATGCATCAGATATACACAGTTATACCCCCAAATACCCTGATATGGCTACGAAATATGGTTCGGTGGTAAATTTGGAGATTTAAAAATTAACTTGAAATGATATTCCTAGTAAACAGGTTCACTCCACCTTACAAAAGCCGGTATACCCATGTGCTTATTTATTGGACATTGAAGTCACACGACAGGCATTATACGATTAGATAACAGTCAGAATTGAATGGTTAATATTTTAACCCTAACTCGATTAGGAAACACCCTTCCACGATGTGGGCAGCCGGGAAGCGATATCCGCCCTCATACCCATAACAGCACACGAGACCGAATCGGTCACAATCATCTGCTCCCTACATCCCCTAACATCACTCTCTTGTCGATTAGCTGTATTGAATGACGATTATTCAGTGGCATCTATGATACAGGTTGTAAAGCTAACAGTTGCGATTTCTTATAAACTGAAAACAAAACGATAAACAACGTAATGTCTAGCTAATTAGACTACTAATGCCGACAAAACTTGGTCTTCACAATTTGAAAAGTGCTAAATGCAACAAGATAAAATGACATTATTAGTTAGTATTTATGATCAGTCAATGTATGCCTACAAAAAGAATCATTGGAAGAGTTCAATGTGTGAAAATTTTATTTCAGGCAACCAGGTTACCAATAAACAGAAGTCAAAATAAGGTTTCACTTGGTAGAACACAGACATTATTTAAAACTTTTTTTATATCTAGTAGATTGGAAAGGTATTAGTCATTTTATTACCAGCAGAAATAGATAATAAAAAAATCTGAGAATTTAGTTACTATGTGAATCTTTTTAACCCCTATATATTTTACAGTCTCATGTAAACTAGACTAAAATAGATTGTGTGCCTAGAATTCCAGCCAGTATTTCTATCTTCCAGCATAATCAAACAGAAATAGATATAATTTTCTGAAATAACCTCAACAGCTAGTTTGTACCAAATTCATTTTTTCGAAAATTACTATAATTCATTGGAAACAAAACACACTCTTCAAAACCATAAATTTAAGAGTTCAATTTTGAAAAATATATATATATAAATTCGTAATGGCATAGCTGTCAGTTTTTCATTGTTCAGTGTGCTAGGATAACTAAAATCTTTTAATGAAAATCACTCTTCAAATGAACATGTCCCACTTTCTGACTTTGAAAAAGAAGAACAATCATTTCATAAATTGTGACTCATAAATCTTTTTTATACACACAAACGCTTAAAGAGAACATGATTCAACTTTGTTTAAATAAGCATAAATAAACAGATAATTTGATAGATCACATCATGCAGATATTATAGCAGAAAAACATGCACAACTGTTTCTCATCGTCAACATTTTCTTCAATCATAGATGATTGTTGGAACTATTTATGTGTGTTTATGTGAAGACGTGAACAAATGATTATTAAAAGGCCTCACCTTGTGAGATAAGATACTTTAGATTTATGTATGAGTTAACAGATCCATACACACTCTCACACACACACACACTCACAACAAAAGGCATACACGATAATTGAGTAAACAAATCAAGCTGAACTTGTTAAGTAAACAGACTCGATGTATATCATTTCTTGGGCTTCCTGTATTTAATCATTACTGAAATATTGATACAAATGAAAAGAGAAACATTGTTACTGTTTACTCATTACTTCCACATTGTTTTTCCCTAATATTTTTATTTCTATTTCATGTGTATAAATACATTGGATGGCAAACACAAAACAATTTTCAAATGAACCGATAATAAAATTATGAAATAAGATTGAAAATCATTTGGAATTGATGTACAATCTCATTTATCGAAGTAATCACAACAATATTTATCACAATAACTATGATTATGATGAAATTTTTCAAGTAATCTATCAATTATACAATCAAGATAATTTATTCAACTTTAATTATCTGATTTCGATAAACTATCCAGATAAGAATAGGATTGTTAACAATGATGATATATTTGCTATTCAATCAGTAATTGGTTCCAATAAACATAGTGAGTACATCTCTATATATGTATATAACAGGTTGTACTTAGTCGTTGAGCTGTACTCATCAAAGTCACAACTTTGTCCGCTCTGTCATCTACCTCATCATCATCATCTCGAAATTCTTGTTAATTTGTTAACTTCCAAATCTTTGCGCAAACCACGTTCTCAAATGCATTTCGTTGGGAAACTACCAATCGCAATGTAAAATTAGTTAAGCGATTTCAGTGTTTTCATCACAAATAATGGCCGACACTGGTGTTCATTCGAATAGACTTCCATGTTTAGCCTAGAATTTATCTACGGTTATTTGATTTCTGACTTCATAATGTCACACATTGCAACATTATCGATCAATCATGTTGTGTTAAAACTAGGTTACGGTTTAAAACTCGCAATGTTAGTTAATTGTCACTAAGATAAATCACTGAAAATAAACAAAACAAAACAAAATAATTGTGTTCTTAAAAAAATAGTAATTATACTTCTTCAAATTCATTATAACAAACGAATCAATCATGATACACGAGAGAAATTAGTGTGATTCTTAGTTTCATCCACTAAACATAATGATAACCTATAATTAAAAATGTCATATCAGTAATTCAATTGTTAATATTATTATTCTTACTATTATAATTATTTTTTCTTCTTATTTAGGTTAGATTGGGTTATTCAAAAGAAGTTCAGCTAATTAAAACTGACTAGATTTCTCTCTGCATCAACAGATAACTTAATTGATTATTTCTAATTTAATTGTTCGCTTAGGTGTTTTTATTCTTCACTTTTTCAATCATTTAAACAAACGTCTTATGTTTAAATTTACAATCTAAAGAAAAAAAAGAAATATCAACTTGAAAAAAAAATTTGAATTTGTAGCCTCAACTGATTGGCATTTCAACAATTCACTGAAAATGTTTACAACTCCAATGAAATTTCTAACCAAAGACTCTAAATTAACGTTTATAATTGGTAACCTGATTAAAAATGATTATTTAGATTAAATTATAATTTCCCCAATAGAATAATCATTTCATATTAGCTACAAAAACTCATTTGAAAAACAAAATAAACAGACAGTAATAAGAACTTGCTTTGTGGATGAACAAAATAACCATTTGAAAAACTACGCATAAATTGAGTGATTTTCTAAAACCCCAAGTTTCCATTAATTAGCTAGTATTCTAGATAATAAAAATTTGAGTGAAACACACAGTGTATACAAAGTATTCTTGTTCACATTTCACTAAAAGTTTATCAAATAATAATCAATAAACAGAAGTGGACTCTCAAACACAATAACTTAAAAAGTTCGACATATTGCATATTATCTAATGTCGGATAATGTAAGCAGGTCGATGCGTAAAAAGTTTTCCTAAATTAAGGTGACAGAGATATTGATCGAATAAGTGTTTTGGTCTGTATAATTGCTTAACTTTGACTAGTCTTCGAGTGATACGGGAATAATAATGAGTAATAATAATAATAATAATAATACATATTCAAAATCTAATTACAAATGTCTATTTTTGGTTTACAATTGGCTCTTTGTTGTCAGAAAAATTACCGTATTTAGAAGATATTATCTTATGCCTGATATTTTACTCAATTTAAAGTGAAAAATCTTGTTACAAATGATAAATGCAAAACTATTATTAACTTACATACCTCTAAAGGAGCGTAGGCTGCCGACCAACATTCTTCAACCAAATCTGTACTGGGTGTTCCTTGCCAGCTCAACCCATTCGCGATTCGTTCTTCTCATGTCCGTTTCCGATTCTCTGCTCAGTGTGCATCTTGATCTTACTACTTTACCTTTCAGTCTGAAGGCTCCAATTTAGCGCTTGTCTTATGACGTAAATAGATGCATTCTTCAATGTTTGTCTTGTCCACCTCCAGACTATGCTGTTGGTTGAAAGTTGTTTCAGATGTTCTTCAAATGTAGAAATACTGCCCTTGGTTTGCCAGTCCGTAGCCTCATATCTGCCTCAGGTCCTCCTTGCTCGTCAATGATGATGTATAGGTTTCTACATCTTCCTGAGATACTACGTCAACTGTGGTCTGCTGGGTAAATCTAGGGGTCTTACTTTCGCCATTGTGTGTGTTGAAACTACTGCCGCAGAGGTTTCTGCTACACTGGCCATCTTAACTTGGTTTAGGTACTGCGTTTAGGATAGAAGAGCTAGATCATCTGCAAAGCCTAAATTGTCCAGCTGCATCCTGTGCTTTCCTCCAGATGTTGACGTCTTCATAATTCAGTCAACCATCAGGCGAAAGAGAAAAGGTTAATTTTAGTAACCTTGTCTGAAACTGCCATGACTGCTTTTAATGCCTCAGATATTTTTTTTAGTCTGACACTTCTGCTTTGCCACTCTTGATTTGATTGTTAGTGGATTTCCATCAACTGAGAGGTCTAAAAGTGGTGCTTTGGTGACTGATATATTCACTGAGTCTGGTCTTTTCAAGATTTCTTCAAAGTTCTCTACCCATCTCTTTCGTTGTTCTTCGGTATCGGTAGTCGTTTCACCTTCCTTTTTCTTTACTTGTCGTTCTGCTTTACCGTATTTTCCATCAGGCTTCTTCGTTGCTCAATTATTGATCGCTGTCTTCCTTTTCTCCTATTCTCGTATATTATCCAATGTACCAACAGAGATCTACTCCTTGTGACATTGGTTCTTGTGGTTCGAAACCTCACAACATGCTAGAGTTATTTCTTGTTATTTCCCTTTCTAATTTAAAACCCGTCACTTGTATAATGATGATATCTAGAACTGGAACCTGATTGATGGAGGGTAAAGTATGACACTGATAGCTATACTAAGATGTATGAAAAATTGTTATCATTTGTGATACTTAGATGAAATAGATATTCCCAGCGTGTTAGTATACGGATGTCTGATTTTATGCACATACGGAAAAATACTTGTACCCATATATAATCCTATAAACCACCTGAAATATTTTAACGATTTATGTCACAAATCAGGATTTTGTCTTCACACCCTAATTAAACATTGGATATTGAATTCCATAAGCTTTTTCGAAAATTTACCAATCCATATTTCAGACACGATTTTAAAATAAACATTTAAAATATATTGAATGGGGGAAACATTGGTTGTTTATCCAAATAAATCACAATCTTTAACATTTGACAAGAATATTCATTGATCAAATCCGTTCAACAGTGAATGTGTATCAACCTTAATAAAACGAAATGAAGATTGTAATAACAAACATTAAGACATGTGCATGTTTCATATGTATTTGGTATTTAAATATATTTTCTTCCCAGAGACAATACTACAAATCAAATCGACTGAGAATTATGGTGCTATGTTACAAGTTACCAGTCATCAACAATCAATCAATCAAAGTCGTCTAGATGGTCGTTTGATGGTAAATATAGATCATTCAAACATTCTCCACTTACTTTCCTACTGGAGACCAGAAATAAGTGAAGATCTATTAGTAAGTACTTGTAAACTACTTTTGATTGATGCGAATGCCTAGTCTATGAGATGATGAGATTCAGTGGCAAGTAAAATTAGCAATGGGAATACCAACACTTGAATTCATTCAAACCTGATGAATCTCAATCACGATTAAACATATTTAATTTCGATGCTAAGACTCACTATCCACAGTTATAATAATAATATTTCACAAATTATAGACAAAATGTCGACATGAGACTAACATACAGCGAGTTTCGAAACCAAATGATGTTAAGTGTCAACCCTATATATATATATATATATATATATATATAGGAGTTGTGCTGTATCAAGAACTTCTATAATTATTTTTCGACAATAGAAATTCAAATTTCTTTGCCTCACAATTAATTCTTCTTATTATACGTTATGATATTTACAAGCTAAGTTTAAGTATACATCTCATCAATTAAAACTAATTTGAGTCTTTGTTGAACGAAATTCATTTCAAAGTCTACTTCGTTCTAAATGTAGTTAAGTTGTTCAACAATGTCTAACGTTTTTATTGTTTGTGATTATATTTTGAAAAATAATTTGCCTCATAATCATAACTTAATTTATCTGTAATCAAACTTCTATATCTCCAGCGTAAAGTTTTTTTTAACAGGGTTTGTCAATGAATTTTTCATTATAATGCACATCAGTCAAAGTATATATATAGATATACATATATATACTTAAACGGACAGGAAACAATCCATTTTGAAGACTATTCAGTATGATGCTGCAAACACTAAATGACCAATTAGTGTATGCATGTATGACATTTTGTTTATTGTCATCTATGCGTTTTGATTGATAAATACTACTGTTTTACAAATGTCATCATGTGTTATCATTCTAGCATTTCATAAGTAATTTCTACGATAAATGGTAAACACTTTTCTTAAAGTGAAATTCACATTCACATTCCTTAAAAAACCAGATCAATATGGAAATACCTACGATTTATGACAAAAATTACATAAATATACATAAAATCAATCATCTTTATTTTTTCTTGTATCAAGGTGTCTGTGAATGAACTGCCCAAACAATTCAGTTCACTAGTTCATCTCAGTTTTTCTAAAACATATCAATATGGACAAAAGATAGTAACAGTGTTTACAGATAATTTAATTAGTTCTGTGGATGAAATACAATTCTATCAACTAATCGATACAGCTTTTCATGATCTGGAATACATAAGACAAATATTGACATACTGGATCGATAAGAAGTACTTGTTTATTGAACTACTAAATATGACAACAATTGGAAATATGTTACAAGTGAATGTTAATATTACAAAAATAAATCTTTGGGAAAAATTGCAAGAATTGAATATCATTGCCGGCAAATCTCAATTCAACATTGTCAAGTATCTTAACAACACTTACGAAAATTTCACAGTAAGCCATGTGGTGATATATAGTTAAATGTTGATATTTTTAATTCCATTGTTTCAAAACAGTGGTTCCCTTTGATAAAAGTTTTCTTAACCTTCGAATTGCTAGTTTGGACGAAAGTGTTTAACTTTTATCTTAGAGTTTTCTTGACATTGCTTAATTATTACTTAATCAGAAATCAACATTTATATAATTACTTTTTGAATTAAAAGAAAAACTCCTAGTCAAATAATGTGGCTGATTATGATTAATTATGTAACCTAATGAACCGATCGATAGAGAATACATATCGAACTCAACAAAAATGATTGCTAAACTCAATATGATTTGGCCTACGTAAATGATGGCAAGTCTAAAACTCTACTATATATATATATATATATATATATATATATATATATATATATATATATATAGATAGATAGATAGATAGATAGATAGGTAAGCTGGACGCCCTGGTTCCAAAGTCCTAATCAGAACGACAGTGAGGATATCTAAGTACCCTGTATTATTTTATATGATTTAAGCATAGAAGACTACTTGATTCCATACACAAAATACAGGACACAACATAGGTAGTGAGTGTCACACATAGCTAAGACTTGTGTGATACACATTGAAATTATACGTAAACAATTAATCAACTACAATTCATGAACGGTAAGAAGGTATTGACATCATCAATGGGTCAAATAAAAGTTTACCGTCTGAACACACTAAAATCCAATTGTTTAATTAGTCATTATAACACAAATATCTACTATTTCTTCAAAGACTTACTTACTTGCTTACGCCTGTTACCTCCAATGGAGCATTAGCCACGCGCCAGTTTTCTCCAACCAACTCTGTCCTGGGCTTCCCTTTCCAGTTCTGTCCAATTTTTGTGCATTCTTATCATATCTTTCTATATTTCTCGGCGTAATGTGTTCCTTGGCCTTCCTCTGTTCCTTTTGCCTTGAGGGTTCCATGTGAGGGCTTGTCTCGTGACGCAGTTAGGTGCTTTCCTCAATGTGTGTCCTATCCACTTTCACCGTTTCTTCCTGATTTCCTCCTCCACTGGAATCTGGTTTGTTTCTTCAAAGAGGTTTCATGTTTTCAGCTATTCATATAATTTCAACAAAAGTTAATATTCTAATTCTTAGAGTTGGCCATCGTTACATTTGCTCGAATATGCAAAATAAATTTCTAACTATTATTGAATTGATTGTTACGAAAATATCAGACAATTCATCAGGTTCTTATCTATCTAATCAATATTTAACAAATATAACCAGAATTAAGAGCAATATGGAGAACAATCAGTTTGTAAATCAAAAGTTAAACTTAACAATGTGATCGTCCAGAAACTGTGCATTGATAAACAAATTCAATATTTTTATATGACCAACTAACAAAAGACTCACTAGGATTAAACATTCAGTTGCAGTACAGATGAGTCAGTAATCAAGAAATCGCTGATTTAAATTCAATAAATACTTTCACCTATTCACCAGTATGATTTTTGAGATTCTCTGCTTTAGCGAGCATTAAATTTGTTTTATTAAATGACCGAGTATGTATTATATAAACTTTATTCCGTAAAAACATAAAAATCATGACAATCTCATTAAATGTTCTAGAAACATTTAGAGCCTAAGGTCATTTTTATAAACCATTTGTTCTAAGCTAGTTTCCCTTATCAAATAAATGAACAGCATACACAGTGATTCAAATTAAAACATCAATTTTTAGTTGATTACATATCTTCCTCTTTAAAAAATATCAAATAACATCAAACCTAGATCACAGACTTTCTTTCTACTAAAAACAAATGACAGTATTCGAATAAGGGACTTAATGATATCCAGACTAATATTATAGTCTTTAGAGTCAAGTAAGTGTCACTCATCAAGTCGTTCTATATTTTCACCCAGCTAATACAATAAACATGTTTACTAAACGATAGAAAGAGTGCTTTAAAACTACTGTCTATACTTTTGACCATATTAGTGATGCATTAGCAAAGTCAATAACGGAATGTGGAACTTAAAAGAGTAATTCATCAGTTAGTATGATGTGATAAATGCTGTATATATACACACTATCTTAGTCAAAGTAGTCAGGTATAGATGGCTTTTGCTTCTCAATGAAAATATCCGTCACTTCAAAATAATACAGCTTATTGTATACAATATTGATAGTGTATTTTGATACACTAAATTGTGAATGGAACAGAATCAAGGTTCAGAGTTAACATCTGAACACTCCTACAAACCCAATGTATATTTCAATAATAATCCGTACTTATTTGAACGAAAGTAGGACAGTAAAAAAAAAACATCGTGATTTTGTTTTGTTGCTGAGGAAAATCTTCATTCCTGTAAGTAGCAAACGTAGTAGTAAACATTTCCCACACAAAAACAAATCACTAACCTATATTTCTCATGGAATACAATCGATTATTTCTCATCAAAGTTTATTGAACTAACAATAACATGACACTAACCATCCATTAAGTGAAGAAATTAATTTTCATAGTTCAAATTATAAAATGACTTTTGTTCAACCACCTTTGAAAACCTGAAAGCACAAGTTGACTGTTATGTCCTCGCATAGGACTCTTCAGAAGTGTATAAGGATTATTTCATATCCGGGAATCAAACCCAAAGAGCCTTAAGACCATCAAACTAGAATAGACCGGTTTGTAACTTCATTTAATATAAACAGTACTGCAAAATAATGCCTTGTTGCCAGTAAATGTTTACTTGAAAAACACTTACGATCTCATTAATAAGACAGTTCCATCCATTCGAATGAATATTCGAGTTTTACTGTAAAGTGTAATACCGACGTACCCATCATTCCTTAAATGTTCATCATCAACTAGTTGACTAGTTTATTATTTTGGCGTTTAAATTTTAGTTTAAATTTCCTTGTTGGAATTTCCCTAAATAAATCATGAAACGCATTTATTTAAACAAAAAAAAATAACATATATGATTTAAAAAGCAATTTATTTTGCAAATCAAGTTTTCTTTTATTAATTAAAGTACAGACAGCAGTAAAACTGTTTTTTTTAATTAAATGGGTACATATTAATGAAATGAAATTATCTTTACACTTTTGTATGTACTTAATGTGACAAACGACAGAAAAATTAAATCAAGAAATGAATGCAATACATTTATGATTTGGAATGGTTTTTTATTTTGCATGTTCAATTTAGTCAAGTTACGCGTAAATGACGCTTGTTAGTTTGTTTTTTTCTCTACAAGAAATAAAACTTATTAGAAAGTTTGAATAAATCATTCTGTATGAAAAAGTATAGAATACAAAATAGGATGAAAAAAAAAAGATTTTTCTAATGTTTAGCTAGTTGTCAAAATGCTTCATTCAACTCACAATTAATAATTAGACTAGTGATTTTATTTTTTCATCAAGGTGCTTGGAAACACACTACTTACTACCTAAGCCTGTTAAACCTCAAGGGACATAGACCACTTTTGAAATGTGATAGTAAAAGAGGAGAATGATTTTGCTAAAATTGTGTAAGTTTTGCATTGTTGTCCAGAAAACATCAGAACCAACTTCAAAAAGTAGTGAGCCGTTAAATTTTTGCTATCTATTATTATAAACAGCTTTTTTGTCAACATCAGTCCAATAACTAACTGCACGTTAATGTTGATTGTCTTCACTTGAGTTCAAGGTTGATGGGATCAATTTCTATACATTTATTGGTTGCTGATTAACCTGAGTGCCAAGCTTCTTTGATCTTGTTGTTTTCCCACTGTCTATGGTTTTACTTCTCAGTGGAATATTAGATTGTTTAACAACCTGTGCAAATAAGGAAACGTAACATCCTAATGATTTTAAAAGATTACGAAGTTTGAATTTATTATTAAGTTTTCTTTCAATAAAAACAACAGATTATAAAATATCTACAGATATCCAGTAGACTTATCTTATTATCCATAATTTCAAGAACCTTCAATTCATGGAATCAGAAACATGTGAACTGAGAGATTTTATTATCGATTACAATCAGTATTGAATAATTGAACTGATTTTACAAGTTTTTCATTGTTTTTAAAGCGCTATTAGAGTCTTTGTAATAGTGACAGGATGTTTCGGTCTATCTACTACTGGTTGCTTTGAAAATGTTAAACAAGACATGAAAGAAGATTCAAGGACGGAAAGGAAATACAGAAAATAAGTGAAATTGGACAATGTAATGAGTTTTTAATTATCGAACTGGTCAAGAACACTCTCATAATCTTTAGAGTAGTGAATATTTATGAAAAGGAAAGAGTAAATACCCAAAGTTATAATCTGACTGAAAAACTCACCACTAAATCTGATAAATTAATAATTATTTTAATAAATATGAATTTTGAATTCATGGCATATTACAAATTGTCCAACTTGACCATAATCAGAAACAACCGTTCACTCTGAACGGATATGAGAACAACTGGAGCAGTTGTTCAAATATTTTATTTTTTTCAAGGATTATATCAACAATCAGACCAAACAAAGCAAATACATTGAGCTTAAGTAACAACAGATCGTCCCCCTCAGTGAGAATGTCAGTGGAACAGCTAGCAGAAAGATATTTTCTGAAACATAGTGAATTTTCACACTTAGAAATATTAAACTTGCTGATAAACAGACTGCAACATTGGATTTAGGTTTCACAACAGTCAGCACTCAATAATAAGGTGAATTAACAACCTAAAAGACTTCACAAGTATGACACCGATTACTGATCAGTGAGTATTCAGTCGAAAATATCTCGGTCCTACGAGTTAGTAGCAGAAGCTGTAATCATTCGAAGGTAGTCTCAGATTTCAAAACTGAGCGATGTTGATTCGAACCACCAGAAAACACTAACCTTTTGAAAATTACTGATTCATTTTGCTGATAAGTCTCAACTATCGAAAAATTAGGTTCAAGATTTCCTGTCAATCACTACCAGACACTTAATATCTCAATATAATGTCCATGCTATGCAACTTGGTTGACAGAATTAAATCAGTGCTAAAGGACTAGACGAATTATATCATTAGATTTTCTGTTAACTACGACCGTATGCAATCAGTGTCAATCTTAACCATAGAAAAACGAATCGCTAGTTGTTTTCCATTAAAGTCATTTTGATATTCGTTACTGAGTAAGTCTCCTTTTATAATTCCTCGCCTTTGTTGATCTGTACCAGTTGGCATGTTTGCTTATGATGCTCTATCTTACTGGCATACTCTTGGGCAGAAAAGTTAGACTATCTGACCAATTTCTTGTCGTTCATTTATTAAACCAAAGATGATTTTCATTCGCACCATACTAGTTTAATATATTTTTGGAATTAAAATACCCTAATGTTTATCATTTCAGGTACAAATGGAATCAAATACTCAAAATAATTCTTTCCAACAATTAATTAATAGTATTAATCCACTGATTAATCATATATTGAACATAACGATGCAAAGATCAAACGATTTTGCTAAAGATGCAATTAAAGGTTTAAGTAAGTATAAATGTAATGTACCAATTTCTGTACGACATTAAATGATATTTTAGATTGGTACATTTCAAAGGATTTAATCAATTTTCATAAACATTTCGAAATTTGTTTGGTTTTACCAATAAACAAGCAGAACTATGTAACAAAATCAAGTCTTTAACAAAATAGATCATGATGCATTTATCATGTCAGTAGTTCGTTTATCGTAGAGAATAATTATGTTTCATTTCTGCTGTTAATATTTTTTTAATGTGTAATTTAGTTACTGAAGAATAAGTCACCTCTTCATAATGTATGATGGTCATCATTCTGAGACGACGTTTTATAACCATTAGTATCGGATTTAATGCTTAGGAATTTTTATTGTAACTTGGTATGAAGACTATAACTCAGTCTATAAGTGAAAAGCGTATTTACCTAAAAAAACAATATAACTTAGTTAGTCAGCCTTAAGTAAACTGTACAAAGCACCTAAAACCACAAATCAAGATTTAGACGGTTACCTTTTTCATCACATCGAATTTACAGTCGTAGAACAAACCGTGTGGTAATCAAATATGAAAATAATGTCAAAATGTACGCTACATGAACATTAGAAAACATCCGTTTCTGTTCATTATGTCACAATCATTTGTCTTTCTGGTGTACAATAGCGCAAAATACAGAATACAGAAATATTTTGCATAAAATTAATTCACAAAAATGACCAAATCATAAATAAATTCATGATCAAAGTATTAACTTGGAATGAGAAAGTAACAATGTTAAACAACGTGGAAAAATGATATGAATGCTTTTGTTCTCTCTTTTATTTGATTGTTACTTCCTGATAACTCCTAAGTTTGTCCGGACGAAATTTTACAATTGATATCAATGTTTGTTATTTTCATTTACTTATTTTGTTTATCTGTGAAAAAAAAAACAACAAGAAATAAGTGTTGGTGCTTTTGATGCTTTTTGGTATTCAACGGTCGAAACGTATAATATTATATGGATAAAGATGCCAACAAACATTAGTGAAAGCATATACAATCTTCTTGTTAATCATAAAGAAAATTCTAAGCAAATAGGAAATATTACAGTTTTTTTGAAGCAAGCTAATGAATACTTGAAAATCACTGTGAGTATTATGAATTTGCTAGTTTTTATATTCATTTTGGTGTATAAATGCTTTGGTAACCATATAAACCTAACTTATAAATCATCAATCAATCAATGTCAGACAACTATTATAAACCTGAAAGCATTGGATGGCCGTTTCATCCTAGTCCCGACCGAAGCTGCTACCTAGACGTGGTGGTCGGGCTTGCCTATCGTGATGACCCAACAGAGCTATACTGACTGGAACACATGTTCCTCAAGGTTCTACCATGCCAGACAGTTCGATTGGAGAACGATGAGACTAAAAGCAGCTACCCAAGGTCTGAGGGCGACGTCGTACTGCTGACTGCAGAGGGGTGTGACAGCAGTAAGGTGTTTCCCTCAGACAACCAGCATCTGCAGCGATGCTGCCTTCTCACAAGGAAGGAAGGATTAGAAAAGGTCGGCCATAAAAATGTCACACCTCCCCTAACTCACGGATTTCCGTCTCCTTGGGTAAGGGTGCCCACTAAGGGCCTTTAAGAACGGAGCTAATCCTCTAAATACCTCGCATAAAAAGGCCGTGAGTGACCGGCCTCAAGCAGTTGTCCGTTGGACTCTGCGGTCACGCACCAACACTAATCCATCTTCCTTTTCAGGTCCCTCAAGAAACAACCTTCCACGGCGTGAGCAGCCGGGAAGTGACATCCGCCCTCATACACGTAACAGCACGCGAGACCAATTTGGTCAAAATCAAATCCTTCCTACACCCCCTAATGTCTCTCTTATCTCCACGACTCACCTTTCTCACAATACTTTATCACGCTGCACCGCTAATGCAAACGATTCGAGTTCACGAAACGATATCCCTGGTCTCCTGAAACTCCGTTCTAAACTACATGTTGAAGCATTTAATTTCCGGACAATGTGTCAAATAAGACAACAGGCCTGCTTAGCTAGGACTTTAGAATCTCGCTCAATCGATGTATGCTGCGTCTCCGAAACGCGCATACAGGATCCTAGTAAAGTCATTAACCTGATTCCACCTTGTCAAAACGAAGCAGCCCGATTCACTCTTCGTGTATCCGGTAGCCCTGATGCTGCTTCCAGGGGTCTTGCTGGCATAGGCATAGAGTTGAGTCCTAGGGCAGAATTATCTCTCCTTGACTGGATCCCAGTAGATAGTCGCTTGTGCACTGTCCGACTAAACGGGACAGTAAGGATTCGGAAAGATAGGGACAATCGCCGTTGCCTCTTCATCGTATCTGCTTATGCCCCCACTGACTGCGGTGCAGACGAGGTTAAAGATGAGTTTTACAGAAAGCTTTCGGACCTCCTCCAAAAAGCTAGGTGCTCTGATATAGTAATAATGGCTGGTGACTTTAATGCTCAAGTAGGTAGACTAGGTGAAAAGGAAAGACATCTAGGTGGATGTTATGGTGTCACGGCTCAGAGAACAGACAATGGTGACCGTCTGTTGCAAATATGCTCAGACAACCGCCTTTTCTTAGCAAACACTAACTTTAGGCATAAGGAAAAGCATCTGTTGACCTGGCGACCTCCAAAGTGGTCTCAACGTTGGACGCAACTAGATCATATCTCCATCAGCCACCGATGGAGAGGTTCGATAGAGGACTGTCGCTCGTTCTGAGGCACATATTTGGATTCAGATCATGCTCTAGTGCGAGCTCGTATCTGTTTAAGGCTTACTGGACGTAGGAAAGACACCGTAAGAAAGCCTCTCAGGGTTTTACTTAATGATAATCAAACCAAGAAAATATTTCAGGAGCAACTAGAAAGAGAGTTAGGCAACTATGCAAGCGATTCCCATCCAGAAGCAGGTTGGTATGATATCAAAAAGTGTGTGGAAGCAGCAGTGATATCTGCTAGGAAGGTAAACCATGAGGCTAGGATGAAGCCGTGGATTTCAGTCGCATCCACCGAACTGATGGATGCTCGAAAACGCATCCCACCTGACTCTGAGCATGATGAAGAGCGTAGTCAACTTAGGCGCAGACTCATAAAAAGTCTACGTAACGACCGCGAACAGTGGTGGGTGGCGAAAGCAAAAGCGATGGAAAAGGCAGCGGCGATAGGCAACACTAGACAACTTTTCCGCCTTATTAAAGAAACTGGTATTAAGAACCCGAATGTGAGTGAGACTATCTCGAAAAAGGATGGTCTTATTATCCATTCTCAATCCAGGAGACTGGATCGATGGGCAGAACACTTTAGGGATCAGTTCAACTGGCCACGAGCTACTCTTCGGTTACCCACGATCTCCAGTCATCCTGAATGGCAAATAGACCTAAGTCCCCCTAGTCTTAATGACGTTGAGAAAGCTTTAGGAAATCTGAAGCGAGGACGAGCTGCAGGTCCTGATAGACTGACCCCTGAGATATTTAAGGATGGTGGTCCAGTTTTAGCAGCTAGGTTGACTGAGATCTTAGGTAGAATCTGGGAACTGGACGTAATCCCATCCGACTGGTCTCAATCCTTGATTGTCCCAATCTATAAGAAAGGACACAAGTCTTCTTGTGACAATCACAGGGGAATAAGTCTAAATAATATAGTATCTAAAATATTGGCCTTAATAATACTTCGACGCTTAACGAAAGCTCGCGAAGAGCAGACTCGAGAAAACCAGTCTGGTTTTCGACCTGGACGTGGTTGTATAGACCACGTCTTCACACTCAGACAGGTGCTGGAACACAGACACACATTTAGGCGTCCTACAATAGTTGTTTTCCTAGACCTTAAGGCGGCATTTGACTCTGTTGATCGTAAGGTTCTGTGGCAGTGTCTGTCATTGAAAGGTGTACCAAAGAAGTACATTAACCTCATACAAGCACTCTACTCGAACACCACTGGTCGAGTGAGGGCTTATGGCGAACTGTCACCGGAATTCTCTACATCAAGTGGTGTCCGTCAGGGATGTCCACTATCTCCATTCTTGTTTAGTTTTATAATAGACATGCTCCTAGACATAACATTATCCTCGTCTGAATTTTCTGGAGTAGACCTTATACCAAGTGGCTCGCTTAATGACTTAGAATATGCCGATGACATTGTCCTACTTGGTGAAGATGCTGACAAAATGCAGAGTCTTCTGACTACCCTAAGCAACAATGCAAGCATGTTCGGGATGCGGTTTTCCCCCTCGAAATGCAAAATGTTGCTTCAAGACTGGGTTGCATCGGCACCTGAACTAGTGATAGGGAGTGAAGTAGTCGAACGTGTAGACCGCTTCACTTATCTTGGGAGTCTCATCAGTGATGATGGCCTGGTGACTGACGAAATCTCAGCACGGATACAGAAGGCTCGATTGGCTTTTGCCAACCTGCGTCACTTATGGCGAAGGCGAGATATCCGTTTGCTGACTAAAGGACAAGTGTACTGTGCAGTAGTTCGCTCCGTCTTACTTTGTGGCTGTGAAACATGGCCAGTGAGAGTAGAAGATATTCGTAGGTTATTGGTTTTCGATCATAGGTGTCTTCGAAGCATTGCTCGTATATCCTGGGACACCCGAGTGAGCAACGCTGTTATTAGGAATCGGGTGCTAGTTAAGAATGGCAGATCAATCGATGAAGTATTGAAACTTCACCAGTTGAGGTGGTTGGGACATGTGTTGGGTATACCCAACCACCGACTGCCTCGTCGAGCCTTGTTTTGTAGTGTAGGAATAGGTTGGAAGAAAGTTAGGGGCGGCCAAACCAAAACATGGCACAAATCCATGAAGTCATTGACTAGTGGACTGAGCCATGTCGGTACGTGTAGACTACCTGGTTGGGGTCCGCGAGATGATAATAATCGATGGTTAGAGACCTTGAATGACATGGCTCAAAATCGTTCGCAATGGCGCCGGTGCATTTATTCTCTGTGTTCTCTCAAATGCTAATCTTCTGGATTCTTCAACCCCTCTAGTTTCGACTCTCTAAACTTATCTCACTGAATCATACTTCTTGAATAGTATCTTCTAATCCTAACCTCTCCGATTATTTCTAATTCCCTTACTACCTCTTCTACTATTGGATTTGAATTGACGATTACTTCTCTGTGCTGATGTGGTATGGCAACATGAACTGATGTACTTATGTACAAAGTTCTACGTTGCATCTGACTGACTGACTGACTGTTTCATCCTATTATGGGACTGATTAGCAGTGAGCATCCATGACTTCTGCTTGCCGGAATCGAACCCAGGACCTCTTGTCTTACATGCGAACGCCTTACCTCTAGACCACTGAGCCGCCATCCAACGATGTTAGTGTCTAATCGAATATAAACGTGAATGAACACAATATATCATTAGGCATGTGGATATGTTTGTGATGGCATTTTACTCGACTGAAATATCACAGAAAATTAATGTCCGCGAAACAATAATCCTTCAAAAAAGAATGGAATCAAGTTCACATAGAGATAAAATTTAGTCATTCTATATATTTGGTTTAATCCAAACAACTGGGTGCGGTATTATCAGCTGCCATGTATTCATTATTGAATAAAAAATTATTGAAGGGAGAAATTAGCCTCATCGATTCTTCACGTACTCATTTTAAAGAGTAAGAATATTAAAATCAACTTATCCTGCTTGTTTAGTCATCTGTTCTGCTCTGATTAGTACAGCAACACATAAATGTCCAGGCATTTAAAAGTAGGTGTTCGTATTTTCTCACTCTTAGATTCCAGGAATGCAAGTAATCAGTCTCCACTGTCATATGTACAATCTTAGTGGGTTGTCGCGATATGGTCTTTAGTTTGCAAGTTTGAATATATTTAGAATGCTGTGAATAATAAACTCTGTGATTTCTATCTCATCCTACTTTGATCTTGTCGTTCGGATGCAAATGCACCTCAGTTTTGTTTTTCAACCGAAAACCCCAACTCCATACATTTCTCCTTAAAATGAGAAAAGAAAAAAACGATCATCAAGGATTTCACTGCCAATCTTAAATGAAAAATTATAATACATAAGGTTATTTATTTACACTTAATCTCACCTATTCTGAAAAACGTTCAGATTATTTCAACTACGAGAATAAATATTATCATGACCTTAGCCGATGACCACATGTAATCCCTAACTTTTAGATAATAGTAATAATAAAAACACGCAAGTCTCCATGTAAGCATTTCATAATCTATATACAATTGACCATAAAATGTTCAGCCACATTTGACAATATAAACATAATTGAAACCATCAATCAATCATTGTTAGACCACCATTAGAAACCTGGAAGCACTGAAAGACGGCCGTTTCATCCCGGTGTGGGACTCCTCAGCAGTGCGCATCCACGACTCCTGCATCTCGCAGGATTCGAACCCGGGACCTTTGGCATCGTGCACGAACGCCTAACCACTGGACCACTGGGCCGGCGTCCAGTGGCGTTAATGTCTAACTCTGATTGATCTACGGATTTCGCGCGACCTCACCCATTTGTCTTTAGTAGTTACTGCCTACACCCGACAGGGTTGAACTCCATTGGTTACGTCTTCTCAACTAGAACTCCGAGAATTTTCTCACGAAGCTAGTCACTAGTGAGCACTGTTACGATATTTTCGGACAGAGTTTTGGAGGTTTGTGTTTTTACACATCTCTAATGGTGGTCTAACAATGATTAATTGATGATTTCCAATGTGTAAAAACACAAACTTCCAAAACTCTGCCTGAAAATATAAACATAATTGGAAGATCCATTGGAAGATCACATTACAGATCCATGTGATCTATGCGATTTCGATTATACGTATGCAGAAATTCAAACCAGTATGCTCATAGAAGCGTTATTTGCATTTGATTTTACCCCTTTGAAATTTTCTGAAATGTAATTTCATTATTTACATTTATCAACTGCCTTATTTTCCCAAGTTTTGTTTTCATGAGTTACAGTGAAACTTTTTATCCTCTTGAGATGATAAAGTAAAATGATAAACAAAAATATTTGCATAATAAATATTTTTTTAAATATATGCAGTTAATATATATATATATATATATATATATATATATATATATATATATATATATATATATATATATATATATATATATATATATATATATATATATGGAGCTCTTCCCTACTTAATTCAAATAAATTGTGAATAAAATTTAGTTGAGCGCACTTGGAAAATTACCCTAACGAGAAAATAAGAAGGAAATCAATATTGTTGATAAGAAACTTATATCAAGCGCTACGAACATCTTGTGAAACCAGCCAGCACTATCAGTGTATATCATTTTCATACCATATTACGAGAATATTTATTCGGGTAGAGATGAATAACTAGTCCTGAAAAGTCAGTTCATAGTAAATTTTGTTAAGTCAGAGAATTCAGATCTCATAATGCTTACTTACTATTGACCAACTCTTCGAAATGTTAAAAACTGAGGTTTAAGGAATAAAGAATGTGTTTTCTTAAAGTCGACAAGAATAACGCAAGCCAATCCACTACTTATCTTTCATTAGTAATAAAGTTTTAGTTTTGTTATGTTTACTATTTTTGTGCACATAAAAATGGTCTTGACCCTAAAGGAAAGATTTTTTCTTGGATTAGACTGTGTTCTGACTATTATGTATTGTCAAAATATGATACTGATTTTCAGTTGATAGATTTAACATAGTTTAAAAGTTGGTCATATTTTGATACAAACATGTAATCATCATTCCCAATATAATGCTGAAAATCTCTAGAAAATAACAAACATTAGGGAACATTTCATTATTATACCATTGATAATATTTTAATGAAACCTTCTATATGTTGGAAATTTAAAGCTATTCAATTACTAAGTACACTTTTTGTTGTGAAAAGCTGCTTCCTGTTTGACAACGTATATATTCAAGTCATTGACAAAGAACTGATAGCTTTCTACTGTGAAGGAAATTACAATTCTCTCTGTATTATTTACAATGTCGTTATACATATACTTACAGTAAATGCTATTCACTCTCAGTCTTGCCTTATTTATTCATTAATTTCATACAGAATAATTGGGTTGAAAGCATTCGAATCAATTTTAGCCGTATAGGCCTATGCACTGGCGAGAAAATTAGGGAACAACGCTCTAATGAAATTCCCAAATATCGGTCAATAAATCAGTTTGTTCAACTAATCAGAGAGAAACAAGTGGAAGAATTGTATGGAATACTTTTCAAACCACATATGAGCAATTTCACCAAATCAACTGATAAAAGTCAATATTATTTTGAAATATATATTCCACATTTAATCAAGCTAATTACTTACTTTGTGCCGAAAATTTGGCCTTATTACATACAGGTATAAAAATAATATTATTTTTACCCAAAATCAAATACTTTTTATGTTTTCATTTTGAAATGTATCTCAAAATTAAAAAATATGCACAATCGACTGAATAGGTTACAGATAACTACTGTTTTAATCATCGAACGAATCATATCTCGTCATAATCAGGCATTATATTATTCCACCGAGCTATAGTATATTTCCAGTTAGTCATTTTCTTCAGTTTAGGCTTGCAAGCTGACGATAGATTTTGTTGAATAACTCAGGCATATTAACTCTACTGATTATCAGCTTTCAATGATTAACATTGTAAGCGGGTTTTAAAATTTTTTCATGCTAATGCGATCCTTATTTAAAGCACTCTCGTAGTCAAACTTGTTTAAAAAAATTATGAGGAAAAAACTGTTTCTCTTTATCACAAACCATTGAAGTACCTTGAGACACTTTAATGTTGTCAAACTCATTAGAAATTAATAAGTGCTTTCCCATAATACTAGAACAAACTATACCCACCAAAATTTCTGTTTGTTTAACAGAAGACTGATTTAGTCGTCTGTTTAGTCGCTTGTAAATTTCTCTGTAAAGAGAACATGGATGATAAACTCTCACTCTAATTACAAGCTGTTTACGCGGAAAAGCATACCTACGGAAATCTATCGAGAAGTATGCCTGACCTAACTCATATGTCAAACATGATACAGTTGAAAATAAAACCTTTTACTTTTATCTGCCCTTCAAAAGAGATGAAATTCCTAGAATTAGAATTTAAACGATAAATGCCGCCTTGAAGATTGCTGACCCATCTGTAACACTTCTAACATTATAGTAAACAAGCTGCTCACTCAAACATACAAAATTCGACAAGTCCTCTTTTCTCAAGTGTGCGAAAGCACATTGGAAGATCAAAGAGAAGAGTACCTGTTCTCGTTTCGTAAAAATTCGAGAATGAACGGTGTTGCCTGCCTCTGTCTGAATAAAATATTTAACATAAGGTTAACGGCAAATAATGTCATCATTGATAAAGCCTATATAAACCTTTTCACTATACTTCATATAATTCAACTATCATTTCATTTTTCTAATTGCTCTGTTATGTGTTTCTGCAAAACAAATTAAGCTTATTAGCATTTTAACACTTTGAACGCACAAAAAATTTTTTTTTATATTCATTAAAAAGACAAGCTAAAGCTCTTTACTATGTATAAGATATTTTACAATTAAGCCGATTAAACATGGCATTTCTATCTATAAATCAGTTTACCTCCCATTAGGAATTCACTAAGATTTTTATTTTCGCTAAAAATATCCATTTTTCGCTTCTTTCAAATGCACTCATTGGACTTTTCAAGTTTTTTTTTTCTCATTTATTAAGAGGTAGTAGTTTAACTATGCACACAAATGCTTGATTTCTGTGTGTGTGTGTGTATGTATGTGTGGCTTTATTTTAAAAATATTTTTTCTTATAAATAGATACCTTCTAACCAAGATTTCTAATCAGCAACTATTTCGATTAAAAAAAAAATTACACTGATAACAATTTGTTCATCATCTTCTCTAACCTCAAATTGTCTATGATACTGTTCACGGTTACGAAATGCAACTATTGGTATATTACGTTATAATATTAATAAAACTGTTTGTTATCCATTTTTAAGTATAGGCAACACAAATGAAATCACAATGTGAAACACGGAGAAAAGATATATATGTATTAACTAGTAGTAAGTAGAGAAATATATATTCTAGGAAACTGGTTTTATATAACAGCCTATATTACATTAGCAATAACAATAATGGCATTATTATTATTATTATTTAGAAATTGGTAATTTGTTAAAGTTTCGTCTGTAAAATGATTGACTTTTGATAATGTTGCGGTGTATTACGGTTAAAAATAACAAATAGAGTGAAGAAATTTCTTCCTAATTAGTTTTACATTATACCTCTTCACTGACGTGTATGATTTAGAACAATGATTTATCAGTCAGTAAGTTACGTAATGGTTTCATGAAGTTATAGTTATCAAAAAATAATACTGCGTAATTGTAAGGTAAAAGATTTAAACACTCAGAACAATTCAGTAGTTTCTTTGTTACATTAAATATAAAAGAATGTAAAAAAAAATATTTTATTGGAAGGTCAGTGTTGTATAAAAATTGAAAGCGAAGTCTGTTGAAAATTTGCGAAATTTCAAAAAAAAGGTTTGCATATTTTGAAAAATTTAGGTTATTCGAAGTTCAGTTAAAATCGACAGTTATACCGATGACCAAAGCAGAGAGAGGGGTTGTACAAATTTCTATTGAATGCAAAGATGAACTCGTTAATCATGTGGTAAATCTGTTGGAATATGGTGGTGTATGAACTTAAAAGTATGATAATCTTTATGCACCAAGTGAGAGAGAATAAAACTCTTAATCACTATTACGTGTCCTATGCTCAACTAGGTTGGATCATGTTCTGCAAGATGGTGACGGCTGCATAGGAACAGTTAAAGCCATAAATATATACAGATGTGGCAAATTCAAAATGCATTAATTAGTAGTTTCTATTATTTGGTGATTGCAAAAAAAAACCACTTTCATTTTGCCTGAGAAGAATGTCTTCTGTACTGACTTTCTAAACCTTTATGTTACAATTTTCCCAAAAGCATCATTAAGAAATTGTAACTGTAATAACAGTACCTTTATTGGAACGGTACTTGACTTTGGTTTTCTGATTGAATTCTTCGTATAATTACTTTGATTGCTATAATCACTTTCCTTCAAATTGCTTAATATTATTTATTAATCATTGTGACCTTATGTAAGCATAACGTTGCCTAGCTACTCCTTGAGTATCAAATGATTTTTCATTATAAAGTTATGGAGATTAATGTTTTACATTGAAATCATGTATGAATCTTTTTTAGATCACCATGAGAAACCTGGAAGCACTGGACTGATGTTTTGTCTTGGTATGGAACTCATCAGCAGTGCGCACTCATGACTCCTACCACCTGCTGGATTCAAACCCAGGACCTTTGATCTTGCTGATGAGTCCCATACCAGGATGAAACGGCCGTCTAGTGCTTTCAGGTTTCTAATGGTGGTTCGACAATGATTCATTCATGATTTTATTCTATCAAATTATTGTTATATATCTTATGTATTAGTGTAGAGGCATGATGAAAAACTCATTGCAAAGAAATTTCTTCACTCGATTTGCTTTTATTACTAGAAGGCAAAACGGTAGCCATCTGTCAAAATGTAAATCACAAAGAAGTTTTAAAAGACAACTTCTGATTTGTTCATGTTTTCAGATTTTTAAGACTACTGTCTTTCAAATCATTCGGAATTTATATGCCAGAGGATTATTCCTATGGTTATTTGATTTGATATAAGCTACTGTAATATAAAATTCACAAAGTTCTTTGCTTGTAGAATCAACATTAAAACAAAGTTGATGCAAAATTTGAGTGATGTTTATTACATGAACTATAATTAATAGTGGAGTCCACAACACATAGTTCGTCTTATTCGGAACTCATCAGCTGGATAAACTTGTATCACAGTGATTGGTTTTCACATTAACACTCAGATCAAGTACCTCTAATTTGAAAAGATTTTGCCTTATCCACTGAGCTCTCGAATACAGATAGCTACAAACATGTTCAAAGTGCATGTATTTACATTATTATTCTTAGCATAAATTGACGGATCTTGTTTACGTTTAGAATTGGAATCAGATCAGTCTCTGTGGATTGATTTCGAATAATGACTGAATGGATGATTGCCTCTAGCTTCAAAATTTAATCCTCTAAATTATTTTAAACGTGAAATCCATTTTTATTACTGCATATAAGGGTGCACAACAGTTTCTTTATATTTCATACAGCTTACAGCAAGTAAACAAATTATATATCGTTATGTAATTATTCACTTCTAGCTACCTACAAAGCATTTATTGTTTTACCATTTATTCATACACATTCTCGTAATATCCCCTGACTGTACCATTTCCTTCGGCTTTCTGCTATAACTTAAGACGCTATCCTAAATCATATAGTTATTTAATGTAAAATGTTTTTTATACGTTTTCTTTTCATCTTTCATAATAGATCTTAGAAGAACAATCGAAAATGAAATCACAAATAAATCATCTAACTACCGAAGCCAGCAATGCCTTAGAAGCGAACCAACCTTTTATTTAGTAAAAGCATATTAAAATGTCTTTTTCTCATCTTAGTGATCTTTGACAAATCCATACTGCTGTTGTCAACAACAATATGAAGCCAAAAAATACATGTGAACTCGTGACCTTGGCTTTTTCCAAAAACCTAAAATTACATAATCAGTTCATGTAATATTTTTTGAAGTATTTCGTATTTTTTTTGGAACAAGCTGTTTCCACGATAAAAACTGTTATGATGACAAATTATTCCAAAGTAGTGGCATTCTAGATGATGAATCAACTAAATAATCGCAGGTTATAAGCGAAAACAAAGAGAGAAAAATAAATCGCCATGAAAAGAAGTGAATAATCAATATTTGAAACATTACTGTAATAATGGTTGAGATAAACTCCATGTCGTCACGTCATTTAAGTATCAAAGCTGGTAAAAACTGTCTTGTATTCATCATCTATTTAGGCACTAAATTGTACCTATTTTGAAATTATTTTTATCATAGAATTGATTGGAGATGTAAGTTTGCCATGTTAAAATTTTTCTTTCATCATGACTGACTGCATTACACGTGATGCGTCCGTATCAGGATGCATTAATATTTCTGTCTTATAAAACGTTTCGTCTTTCTGTAGGTAAACATTTAGTGGGTACTGTGAATAGTAGAAGGTTTGAGGCGAAAATAATTATACCCTTCATTCTAATTGATGCCCAGGAATGATATCAAAATCATAAATCGTGATGGATTTTATTTCCAGCCCTCCGCCTCAATGAAAAACTTGAATTTACAAACAAACAAAACAATTATGTGAGCATTACTGTTTTCAGTTAGATCATCATCTGACTTGACTCAGTATACACGATTATTCATATGGAAATGTGTAACCAATCACGGTAATTTATAAGTTGAAGAATAATCACAATAAAATAGATTACATAACTACACATGAAACTTAAAATTACAGGTTGATAATGGGAAGACAGGTGAACTAGTAGTGATAGTAACAGTTCAACATTGGAAATAGTAGGTCAAACTTGGATAACCATCACAAAATACCATTGGAATTATGTAATAAGAAATGCCTGACTAAAAAGATGGTGAAGAATACGTCTATTGAGAACATTAAGCTGAAAAAATTTATTCTGTTGAATAATAAGTTCATTTATAAAAATTCGTTTAATGTTAGCACTCTAAAGAGCTTTAAAACAAACATTGATATTTCGTGCAACGAAAGTTAAATAATGGAAGTTTGTGCACTGTAATGTGCACCGTCAAAATAGTATAACAAAGTAGTAAAATTATAGAAAAAGGTATTAGCTAGTTGCACGTATAAAATAGATAACTACCACACATCAAAAAGCCTACTTTGAAGAAAACAGAGATGTTACTATGAGTATATCTCATTAGCAATCATCAGAAAGAGATATACAAGATATCCATAAATTTCATTAAAGCGCTTTAATCACTAACATTAAACCCTTTATATCAAAATCCAATTTTTGGAGTTTGTTTGTATGTTGTAGTGCCTCCATATACATTTGAGTTCGCCTCTATTTAATTTGATTAAGCCTTTCGATTAACTTATTTAACCAAGCCATTTATATAGCAACAACTTATGTGTACCATTGGTTTTTATTATTGTTTGGTTTGTATGAGCTGGTATGACTGAGCATTGCTTAACGCCTACGCGCATATTCATGCCTATCTCGCTTTGATAATAATCTTAAATTTCTCGATGACTCGACATTTCCCTATGTATATATACGAACATTTTAATCTTAATTATACATTCACCAGTTCGCCAACTCGCTTGACAGTGTGCTTACCCTGCTCTGTGTGTTTGTTGTCTGCCGATCCATTTTGTTGTGTGCTAAAAAATAAACGTATTCAACACTTCATATTTGCCTTCTGATTGATAACTGTCAGGTGCTATTTAGTTAAGATTGCCTAGACGAGCGAATTACGAAGCTTAAGAACACGTTAAATATCAACCGTCACGAAGCTAGTTATACACTGGCCACCGTAATGTATTCGATTGGGTCTTTTGACTTGCGTCCGAGTTTCGGCTTGCTGTGTTTGTAACAGGAAAAGAAGAACTATGGTCAGAAGTAACAATAATTAAAGGATTTGGTATTATTTATCAATTGATGAGCAGTTAAGGCACATGATTTTTCTTAATAAAGCCAAACCTTAGTTAACTCAGTAGTTTTATCGGTTTTATTAGTAAAAGAATAATTTTCAGAAGTGTATTCGAAAGTTCATCGTTGGTCATTAGTAAATCAGTCTAAACAACATGCTTCTAAAATTTGACTCGTCTTTCCAATCAGATATATGAGTAGGGAATAGTGAACGAACATGTAAATGGTATCCCCATTGTGAGACCTTTTTTAGTATAGGTTCGCATACGTGTACAGTTGTTTGCAGAAGGCCCCCATGTGTGTTTTGTAAAGCGATAAATCTGTGTTGAGCCATAACTATAAAGCTGCTACATTCGGTTCCTTTATCTTCACACTATGAAGATTTTTGTAGCCCCGGATAACATTATTATCATTCAATATACTTGATATTTTGTTTCCTTATTCAAACACCTTACTGCAGGCATGTTATAGATCATGTTGATTTTGTCCTAATCACCCTGGGAAATTTGCGGCAGGCAAACTGCTTTTCTCAGTTTGATAATGCTTGGATTAGCTGAACTGCAATGCAGTTTAACGGTAAAATGATCTTCCTACATTATTAAAGATGCCTGTAGGATTCAGAGTAGATTCTGATTTCTGAAAAACAGTTCTAGAAGTTTAGATACGCGCCTTGCCCAGTTAATCCAAATAGAAAGCAATTTATCTGGGTAAGAAACGGTTCTAAACAATATTACACTGTTTACCGTCAAAAATAACAATGTGTTTCCGATTCTAGAAGAATGCTTCTGTATAGGTCCAAAATTTCACCCTTGCAGTCCAGATGCTCGTTTTACCAGCCAAGGTATCAAATCCGATATGGCTGTAGCCATAATTAAGTATCAACTTAAACAACATAACACAGTTCAGTGGAAAACATAGAAACTCCAATAAAGGTTCAAAAAATAGAAACTACAACAAAATACAAATATTAACATCCCAAAGTGGGACTAAAGAGACCATCAAGATGTAGCAAAGAAAGAGTCAGTAAGAACATATTACAAACATAAACATGGAAGGATTTTCCTAAAACAAAGCCTTCAAAATGGATTCTACAGTGCCCTTGTTATCTGACAAATAACTCATTTACATGCTCGGAAACGATTATTACCATATATTTTTTCCAACACAAGCTTTTTACGAAAGTTTCGATGTTTCTATTTGAGTGATCGAATCGTTTGATCTTTATAATGAAAACGGTATCCGACCCAACCACTGCAGTGGAACTTAGCTATCAGAGAAAGACCATTTATACACTTCACTTGACTCATATAAAGTTCAAAAATGTACCATTAAAAAATCACGTGAATGTTCATTTTACATTACATAGAAAGATTTGCGTTTGCAAAATTAGCTCACCTTCATATTTATGTACCCGAAGTAATAAGGGTTGCACCAGTCTTTTGAGTCTGTGGCAGTTACCTGAAAAACGTTCTCTCAAAAGAATAACTCTACACAGCCTACTAGTGAAGAATGGTAAATGGGAGATAAGACTAGAATTATGAACATACTTATTTACATATGCATTACAGAGGTATCTCTGTCATTACTTTCGTTTGTTTAATTCAATAAAATAAAATCTGTGGAACAATCCACTAGTCTTCAGTTGCATCAAAGTATGATTTTCTGACCATTGTTCACTCATTTTTTCTTTATACATCACTTATGCAGAAATAGATGAGAATGACAAGCTTACAAACAGATTGAAGCGAAGTGGAGAAATCCAGCGAGCCAACTTAATGTAATGAGGCATCACTAAGCAGAAAAAAATAAGCCAAACAAGTAATCAGCGAAGTAAGCGGCACACACGTACCCAAATAACTATAGCCATGTTATAAGCGAATAGTAAACAAGGTCGAAAGGCACGTGAATAATGACTCCAGAAGAATCGATAAATTAATTTGTACTAAGGCTGAGCAAGCCCTTCGGGCTCGACATAAAAGTACATACACTACAATGGACTTGAAATTTAAGAGCAATAATCTTCATTAGTGATGTTATCTACGAAAGATAAGCGCTGCAAATCCGTATTAGGTGTAATTGATAGTTTGTCCCAGTCTCGTGTCAAGCTCGGGAACAGTATTTTCGAGTTGGTCGGTTTCCGTCAATGCATCAACTACAGTACATACAACTGTACTTGCCCCACAGAGTTCAGAGAATATAGACTTAAAAGCAACATCATTTGTTTTTACAATATAATCGTGACGAGAGGTTATCCTAAGCCTAGCAAAAAAGAGGATTAATGGATCAATAATCTGCCAGTGTTCTCCTTATTTATTCATAAACAAATTTTTATTTACCACCTGTGACAACTAAAATTCTACAAAGTTAGGAGAACTTGTGGCGATCGGTATTCGAAATATTCTTAAACTTCGTACACTGCTCATTCTAATCACCGTCACTAGATAACGCCCGCTGAAGCATACATGCTAGAATAATCACGACAGTAATAAAAGTACCTTAATAACAACGCCACGTTCTTGAAGTTTCGTAAACTGTCTTAGCTGTTGTAGGCGTTCGTCCGCTGTAGCGCTAGCTACTATTATATCACAGAAACATGCATATGCTACTATCAAACCCTTAACAACCTGGTCGATGAATCGCTGTGACCCAGAGTTGACGTTCACTCCAAGATTTCAATCTACGTCATCTCAGTCCAAACAAGATTAGGCTATTTATCTAGTTATTGAGTTCATATAGCCACGGATCTATGTAATGAAGTGAAGTGTTAAATATATGTAAATGCTGATTTAGTCTTCCAATTGATGTTCAGTATTTAAGTGATTAGTTTTTTTCGGTATATGTGCGTCTTGTGCAGACTTTCTTGAGAGAGACTGATCGGTTGTAGTCGTAATTATAAATTAGGATAAATAAATAATCCGTGAAAATTAATTATTTACGGTTTATCTTTATTTTGTGTGGTTAAATATTTAACTGAATGCCCAAATATTTTATAACATGTTTTTTCGTTTGCTACTTCAAATAAAGATATATGTACCCCCTGGCTGTTTCAAATCGTCAGCTGCTACTTCTTTCACTTTCCCAATAATTCAGCTGATCCTAATGATCATTTATCTTTGTCTACCATTTCGAAAGGTAATGCTGTGGTGTTTGAATGAACTAGTAACTTCTTGTTGTTGTTGAATGCTTGATTTCGAATTCTAAATACAATACATTCTTTTGCGCATATCTTTAGTTCTTGATTTACATACTTCTAATTATCACACTGGCGTCGCGATGGAGCTTGTAATGGAACAGCTAGATGTTCATTCTACTTCTGAAGCTTTTGAAGATTATTTGG